AATATCTATTTATCATTTGCAATAAATTTTGTTATAAAATAAAATTTTTTATTTGTCAGTTCTTGTTAGGTTTAAGTACTGGAACTCATGTAAACTGTTCTGGTGTTGACATGATACCTGTTAAGGCTTTTCGAATAGAACCAGCAGAAGGAGTAAGTGGTCATTTAACAGTAGATGGTGAAGAAGTTGATTATGGTCCATTACAAGCTGAAATATTTCCTTCATTAGCAACAGTAATGACACCTTGACAAGGGTAATTATATTAGCAGAAGCAATCAAATAGTACAATCTTAAAATCATAGACTCAAAGTTTTAGAAAAAAAATTTGTTATAAATCGCACACTATCATATCATTAATCAATAAGTATTTTCAAGTTTGCATATGGAAAGTCTAGGATATAATTTCCTATTTCTAGTATTTTAAAATGTAATCTATAATAATTTATTACTGTTAATATAATTTAAAAACTATATATTCCAGTAATTTTACTGTTATGGATTATGTGGATTTTCTATATATTTCTCTTTATTTTATAAATGTTCTTTCAAGTTCGTCTGATTTTCAATATGGATTTCTTATATAATATATTACATATACTGAGATTGACTTATATTTTACACTAAAACACAGTATTTAAATAATAGCTTTAACAGATGGAATATTTTACGAAATGTTTTTCTTTAAAAACTATGAAAGAATATAAATATGTTATAATGATAGTATACAAAAAGATTTTTTAATTGATATCATCAAAATTATTCGCTTAATTACAGCTTATTATAATGTATTCGATTATGCTAGCATATTGTACAATCTGTTATTAACAATTTTAAGGGTGGAAGTATTAGAAAGTTTGACATTGCTAGCATGTAAAATTTATTATGTATTATAGAAGGGAATTCTCTCAAGACCTGAAATATATAAAATATTATATAAGGTGCTCTTCCGACATTCTATGCTAAAATTTGTCAAATTAAGTGATAGTAGTTTAAAAATTTGTACAGTAAAGTATAGTTACTAATGGCACAGAATTTTTGTTGAAACCAATTATGTTATTTTCATATATATATGTTCTATAAATTCATCTTAAAACACTTTATTAATTAATTTTTTTATCAAACATATCAGAAGTTGATGTTTATTCTATTTCTTTTCAGATAGGGATATACTTTTGCCAAATTATAATTGTTATTTTATTTATTTTTCTATTGCTCTCTATAGTAGAGTCAACAATTGTCATATATACATATATATAAAATCTAAAAGTTTTTCTAAAAACCATAGAGTATAAGAAGACTATAAGAACAATGATAGTGCTTAACTATCGTCTTTTTTTTACCCTATTATGCTATTTACTCATCTTGCCTATTTAGGATGATGTGATTTCGTAAAATAAATAATGGTGCCAATAAAATTGTTGACAAATAATTAATAATTAAAATGCAAAAATTGCTTGTTGCCTTTAATTAATAATTAAAACCTTTACAAAAATTGCTTGTTGCCTTTATTTGTTGTAATAAGGTATTTTTAGATTTTTACAAGAGCTACAAGTTTTACACATTTACATGTTAAAACTACATACTATATGAGCATATTATATCACTGTACATGCATTTGAAAATATAGAATCTTATGATATGTTAATAATTTAAGAAACAGATTATGAATTACGAGTTTTAATGAAAATTTGTTTAAAATACTATGAAATAGTGATTTTAAATAATCTTCTTGTTGATGTAATATATACAATATGAAAAGAATATAATGTTGTGCTAATTATTTCTACTTCGTTATTAAAGATTAGAAGTAATAAGATAATCAAGTATATCGACAAAAATTAATGACATGCGATTAATTGAATAGCTAGGCAATTTTAAATTAAATAAATTCCAGCAATTTAATGTTTCATAAATATTTAAAAACATATTATATTTTAATTCAACTCTTTGAAAACTAACGCGTTTTAAATGAAAGAAATATATTTCTCTATATTATATTCCTATATCATTTATTTTATATACGACTTTTTTTTATATCTCTACACAATAAAATCCATAATATTAATAATTATTTTGATTAAGGTTACACTGCAATATGAAAATATAATGTGGATTTTTAGGCAATTATCTCTATAGTTTATATTCTTTCTACAAATTGAAAAATTGTTTATTATTAAGTTGTTTCTAATTTGTTTCCATTTTTACATTGGAAACATAAAATAAAACCAGCAGTATAACCTCAATAGTTTTATTTTCCCATATAATTATATATGTTTTGTTAATATATATATATAAATATATATATATATAAACAAACACTATATGTACACACTTATTTTCATAAAAAAAAAGAAAAATAAAAAAAAAAAAAAATAAAAAAAAATATATTTTTTATTATATATTATAAGTTATAATAGAGATGCTCTATGTTAATACAATCAGTATGTACAGAAGATGTAAAGATATTACATCAGTTATTTACACACTTATATGTAAGTAGAAAATATTGAAATATGTATCTTTGAAAAATGAAAATTACAATCTTGAGTTCTAATATTCAATAGCAAAAACGGTATAATGTATATAACAAATTTTTCTTCATAAGCATATATTTTATAAATGTTCTTCTAAAACATTATAAATAATGTTGTATAGCTGAAAGATAATTTATCTTTTACCTTTGATTATTAAAAATTTTTATTTAGAAAAAAATGTTGATTATGATATATATTGTGTTTATTAAGTACCTGGTCTTGTCAAATTGATTAAAAGATTAATAACTATGACCTCATAACATTATAATAAATGTAATATAGTTTTTAATACAAAATGAAATAAAGTAATTGAAAATTACAAGTGACAAAAGATATGACATTTGTAAATCCTCTACTTTTCGTTTCTATATCAATGAAGCAAGTATATTTAACGTTGAATACTAAATTTTTAAGTATATAGATTTCATAAGTACTACATTTTTAATTCACTAATTAAATTTATACAAGTGTTGACAATGCAATAAGTTATTTATAAGCAAAATTTAGTAATTGACTAGACCAGGACTGTAGGATCACAAGGATTAAAATAAATTACAACATACGTGTATATGATCGATTATAATAAACAACAAAAAAGTTAATGAGTTCTTTGAGATATTAAACATAACACTATAGTTATTATTAATTCTCATAACTGTCTTTTTTATAAAATGTATAGCATTCCTATTGCATTAATACACTATGTATAATTTGATCGGTAATATTCACAGTATATTAATACGAATAGTTAATTTGTAATACTAAGAGAGTTTATGTTAGCCAATAAATCTTTGACATCATCCTGTACTTGATCAGATGTATTAGATAGCGAAAGACGAGAACAAAAGCTACTAAGCGTTTCGACTTGTTCAGACATGTCTTTTTGTTTTTGTACATACACCATTAGCATACCAATTATATTGTGTACTTCTTCTTTAATTTTTAACATATCTTCTTGAAGAGGTTTTCCATATTCTTGCAACATTCTTAATTTCTTCTGTGCTATTCGTAATGGACTACAACCATATTTATCCAAAGAGTGTACATTTGTTCCAGCCTTCAAAAGCAATGTCACTACTGATATTTTACTTGTGACTGCTGCTAGGTGAAGTGGAGTATTACCTATGATATCACGTTTATTAGGATCTGCACCATGTTCCAAAAGCAGATGAACTATTGCTTCGAAGCCTCTGTAAATGAAAATATTTATGAAATCATTTTTATATATCATCTTGTTTAAGAGCAGACATAATTTACCTGCAAGAGGCTAAATGAAGAGGTGTGCGTCCTTGTTCGTCGCGACTATCGGGTGAAACACCAGTATTTAACAGTCTTCTCATTAATTCAATATTATTTGTATAAGCTGCAAGTCGCATTTTACGTTCCAAAAAAGTTTCTCGGAATTCTTTCCAACCAGAATAATACTGATCAGTACGAAAATGTAGCGATCTCATCTTTCTTGGAATAACTTTGATACCTCTTAATTCTTTAGCAGAAACACATCTACTTGTAGGAGGCCTAAATCCCTAAAATAGTTATATTGCACATTGAGTATAAAGTGAACAATCATAATGGTGTCATTTCACATTACCTAACTTCATTGTTCCCAATAATAAAAAAGAAACCCTTACCTGAGATGGATATACAAGCTCTCCTGATGTACTGGCACCCGAATTTTGACTTAAATCATAGTCATAATTCCCAAATCCTGTACACAATGAAGAAATCGGTAAACTCAAATCCATTGACCAGGTTGGACTTAATCCTATCCGAGAAGTATTCTGTCCGTTTTCTTGTCCTTGATTTTGGCTGCTATTCATACTAGCAACGGTTGTAGAAGTATTACAACTTATTTGGCCACTTGTAAGATTTTCGTGTTGAACAATTAAACTGTCGTTTGAATCATTTCCAGTCTCAACACCAGAATCTACCGACGTCATATTGCATCTAAATGTTTTACAACTTGAATTGCGTTTCACAAGAGAGAGAGAAAGAGTGATACACGATGTTTATCAAACTCGATCTATATACATATATACCTAAGTATTTGGATGTCTATACCAAAATAATAACAGATACGAAAAGACTCTCACATCAGCTGGTGTGTACTATACTTGATCGTATTGTTACCTACGGATCACAGAGAGCCTCACAGTTGCTTATAGTAATACGCATCAAATAAGCATGGTGTAGAAGCTTGCGCACGCAACGCAGTATAGCTATTGAAACTATGTGGCGCCATCTTCTTTTATGGATATAGAACTACGCTTTATATTTTTTATCATTGGTGCTTTCTTTGAATTGAATATCAAAGAACGATTTTATTGGTTCTTATATATCTACACGATCGACTAAGCTTAACATTCGTGTATTCAGAAATCAATGAATAGACAGACCCTAGAACTTTACACAACTTTAACCAAACAGAAATAATATCTTTGAAAGATTACATAAGTATACAGTGTGATTTGAAATCTTGTAAAATTTATATTCAATGATTGTAATATCCAAAAATATGGCGCCCGAGTGAAGGACGCTCAATTGAGGATACGAAGTATTAGAAAATTTATAGAAATAAAGTGATAAACTTTCGAGAGAAATGAGTAATCTTTCACCATTCGGTGGTGGAAAGAATCCACCTTGGGTTCGTAATACAGGTAAGATATTATTATATATTAATATAAAGTAGAGGAAATTGCATGTCGTTCGTATGCAGAGCACGATGTTGCCAAATTTTTGTTAAAATTTATACAAGTTAAGTAAACTTGTTAAAATATCTTTTTCAATATATTGTCATGAAATAATCATTTATACTCATATGTAAAGAACATCATTTTATTTAAACATTGTACATTTTATTAATATTTTGAAATAATTATTTTGAGTTTGAGATGATATTAAAATGTATCAAAATGGATGGCTCCATTATTTTGTTATAGTGATATGAATAGTGTAGTATAGTATTCTAAAAGCTTCTTTTTGATATCTCTTGCATGAATTAAATTAGAAATATATCAATTTCAATTGTAATAATATGAAAGATCTTATTAATAATCAATCCATATTGAATTTGTAATGAATTATATACTTCGTAATTTGTTCTATTAAATAAAATTTATTTTAGTACTTTGATTATATAACGAATATCAAGTACTATTTTACATTCATATTATATTTTATCTCTTTGGATTTGCGTTCATAGGACAAGGTATTCAAAATATTCAACAGCAAATGTTAGGTCAGGCAATGGGTACTATCGGTGGACAACCTATGGTTCAATATCAGCAACAAACACAGCAAGTGTATCAACAAAGCTTAGGTTTACAACAGGTCAATACAACATTTTACATTATTATTAGTGATTAACAACATCGAATTTATAAATGGTTTGATCTATAGCCCAATATAACGATGGCTTCAATGGCTACTCTTGGTTCTAATCTACCATCTGGAATAGCTGGACAATTATATCCGCAAGTTGCTACTGTTTCTTATCCAACGCCAAGAGCTTTAAATACAAATGCATTTCAACCATCAGTAGCTGGTGTGCCCCAACAAGTGCAACAAAATGTACCTTCGTCGTCGCCAAAACAAAGAGTCTTTACAGGAATAGTTACTAAAGTACATGATAATTTTGGTTTTGTCGATGAAGATGTATTCTTTCAAACAAGGTGAGTAAAGAAAATAATCAATTTGTATTGATATCATTCAAATTCATTTTTAATGATTTGTGTTTCAGTGCTTGTGTAAAAGGTTCTAATCCAATAGTAGGAGATCGTGTACTTGTAGAAGCATCTTACAATTCTTCTATGCCATTCAAATGGAACGCAACTAGAATACAAGTATTACCCATGGGAAATAATAATAATAATACTAATACACAGCAGACAAATCAAGCTAATCGACAACAACAACAAGTAAATCGGCCATCGGGAACTTATAATGCAGTGCCTCCTCCTACAGAAAATGCAAATAATAGGTAAATTTGAACTATAGCATAAAGGCAAATTCAAAATGATGTCTATTTTTAAAGAAGTATGAATATATTTTATTGTAAATTACTTTATTTATATTCTGAAAAATAATTTCGTGATTGAAAGGTTTACAACTACTACAACAAATACAAATACGACTAGTAATCGTAACAAAGTTGGGAGAGTTAGGGAGCGATCACCCCGTGAACGTAGGAATGAAGAGGAAGAGATCGAAAGAAAACGACGTCGAGAGGAAAGAATAAGAGAACGTGAGAAAAAAGAAGAACGTAGTCCATCAAGAACTAGAAGAAGTAAATCTCCTAGACCTCGTAGACGTACCAGAGTAGTGCCACGGTACATGGTGCAAATACCAAAAATCGCGCTCGATTTGTTAGTAATCTTTATGTTATCATTTCTTATCTTCACGTATTCACAATTACGATTTATCTTAGACGATATTATTGTTTACTATTTATTATTTCAGACCTGAAGCAGATGTTCTTGAAATAAGAAGGCGTTATCAAAACATGTATATTCCCAGTGATTTCTTTTCTACTAACTTTAGATGGGTTGATGCTTTCCCACCACATATGCCATTCACTCTTAACAAACCTTGCTCTTTTCATGTTATGCATAAGGATGTAGATTCATGTATAGAAAATACTGCAGTACTAGAGCCTTCAGATGCTGATTATCTCTTTTCTGCAAAGGTTCGTTCAATTATATGAATTAATTATTTAACGATTCATCTGTCTTATATTATATTTTATCCCACAGGTGATGCTTATATCAATGCCTGCCATGGAAGAAATTTATAAAAGATGTTGCGGAGTCTCGGAGGATAGAGACCCAGATCGTGATTATATACATCCTACTCGCCTTATAAATTTTTTAGTAGGATTACGAGGTAAAAATGAAACAATGGCCATTGGTGGGCCATGGAGTCCTTCCTTGGATGGACCAAATCCCGAAAAGGATCCTTCTGTTTTGATCAGGACGGCTGTCAGAACCTGTAAAGCACTTACAGGCATAGATTTGTCCAGCTGCACTCAGTGGTACGATTTTGTAAATATTGGTATTCTTTTATGTAACGTACGTTTGAATTACAGTTATAGATCTTTTTTCTTTTCTTTTTTTTTCTCTCTCTCTCTCTCTCTCTCTCTCTTTAAAAGCTCTCTCATTATCAAAGAGCAATGTGATGTTAACAAATTTTTCTGCCCGTTAAAATGCACTATTGAAATGTTCGGTTATTGAATTTCTATAAGCCATTATTATAGTAAATTTCGATTTAAATTTCTTTTGATAATCAGTGTCATGTTGCCTTTTTATGACCTCGGACTTTTATAGTTCGCAAAATTACATTGTACATAGTTTTCTTGAGTGAGAAGCTGCTAAAATTTAATTAGCACGGAGTAACGTTAAGATGCGTCTACGACAAGGATATACCATACGTGATCGAAAAAAAAAAAAGAAAAAGAAATATAGATTTTAATGAGTTTCTCACTTGATAAACTAAGATTGTAGCTAAATCTCTACATAGGAGGTACGTATTTATTTTATGCACGACCGACCAACGAAGATTGCTGTGCACTGGATCCTGTTTCAAGCACCCCAACGATGATATACGAGCAGTCGCGGCAGACAAATCATCACTATTGTTCTATTACTGTTGTGATCTACTCAGTTGTGCTTTCTCAAAATGGTCTACGTTGTACGCTGTGCGTGGCTTTGTATGCAGTGCGTGGGCTTAACGAACAAGCGAACGATCACTTAGCATATAAGGCAAGGCTAAGCAGCATTAATCTGAGTTGACGTTTGGGTATTGTTTTTCCTTGCGGCACAGGTACCGCTTCCTGGAACTCTACTACAGACGTGCAGAAACGACCCACAAGTCAGGGCGAGTGGTGCCCTCGCGCGTTGAAACCGTGATACTATTTCTCCCAGATGTATGGAGCTGTGTGCCTACCAGATTGGAGTGGGATGGGCTACAACTCAACTATAAGAAACAACTGGAGCGAAAATTGCTGCGTGCTGCCTCTAACCCCGACGATTCGGATGCTGCCAATGACACTGATGAGGCTGCCGTCGCTGATCAAAAGGCACTGCCAACATCATCCCATATTACTTTTACCTTTTTATTACCTTATTATGTATACATGCAGCTGTTTCCTACTACTAAACTGAATTTTCAGTAGGTGATACTTGTCCATCGATCCAATCTATCTTTCAACTTTTATCAAGATTCTACGTTCCTTTACAATTAATTTTACTGCTTAGAAATTGAAACATTCGTTATTTAGCAAAAGATTTATCATAGATAACTTCTATACTTTAAAGAAAGGAACTGTGTTGAGAAGTTAGTAATTTTATGTTATAATATTTTTCTGTTTAGTTCCTTAATATTCAATGTAAATAGGAATATTTGACATTATTTGCAGTAAAATATATCCATAAAAAAATATTATTTAACTTTACCATAAATATAAGATATCAAATTTTATTTAGAAATAGTAGCGTAACATAGTTTCTGGCAGTCTTCTTCAAATCTTTATGTTATCAAATATTTTTATTAGGTTCAGGTACAAACATGATCGATGGGTAATGTATTGCAAATTCTCCCTTAGCCATTGGCAGTTTCATTGCATTAACAAGAGACGCAAGCAAGCCTAGCTCGGAGAAGAGCACAGCTGAGCCATTCCTATCCCTGATACCTTCACCTCTGTCATTGATAAATTATTCATTCATTTCATTTGCTCATCGTTATATACTACTACATTTTTGGTATTATCCATAACCTATCAACGACACAGACACCAGAGCCAGGACACTATGAGAATCTAGCAGTTATTTAAGTCATACTTGAGGGACATCGTGAATGAAGAAAGGTGTATCATTACTATGTGAGAAAGTGATTAAACGAAGAATGGCGAAAGAATGAAGAGGGAGTGGTTTCGTTTCGTTATAGGGGCTGCTTCTGTTCTGTAGATTCCTATCAAGCTTTTTTACTTCTGTAAGCTAATATAATTTTTCTGTTTTCAGGATGATATGGCAACAGAAAAGAAAGATCCAACCCACTATTCTCAATTGGACCCAAAATCTATGAATGTATGGTATTATTTTATAAAATCATTTCTATATCTAGTATTTATTCATTAATATATGTATATACATATTTATGTATTTTTTTATTTACAAAGGTGAACGATTTACGTCAAGAATTGGTTGCACGAAATTTAAACTCTAAAGGTCTAAAGTCACAATTGCTTGCACGTCTTCTAAAGGCTATGAAGTTGGAACAGGCCAAAGAGGAAGGACGTCAAGATGATGTAGAAGATAATGAAGATACATCACCACCTCCAAAAGAAGATGATGAAAAGAAATTCAAGGAAAATAAAGATGTAAAGGTTGAACATAAAGTGAACATAAATATATTACATATAACAACATATATATAATAGATATATAATATATATATATATATATATATTTGAATGTGTGTGTGTGTGTGTGTTATAAGTATTTACAAAAGATTAAGTAGCCATTTTTATTATCATTGAAGTATGTTAAGGTGTTAGTATATATGTAATTTACAGCATGATGAAGATAAAAGAAAACTATACGAACGCGAACGAATTATACTTGAAAAAAGATATACACTACCAGAGTCTTCTCACATTATTGTGCATCCATCTAGATCAGCGAAAAATGGAAAATTCGATTGTACTGTAATGTCATTGAGTGTCTTACTTGATTACAGACCAGAGGACACGAAGGTATTATATTTTTCTTATTGTGTTATTTATGTTTACTGTTGTTCGATCATACATTAATCATATACGAATTTGATTAATTCTTCTTGACATTTTTACAGGAACATTCCTTCGAGGTGTCTTTATTTGCCGAGTTATTTAATGAAATGTTAATGCGAGATTTTGGTTTTCGCATATATCGATCATTATGTAATTTGCCTGAAAGACCTAAGGAAAAAGACGAGGATAAAAAGAAAGATAAAAAAGAAGATAAGAGGGACGAGAAAAAAGATGATAGAAGACGTGAAGATGATCGAAAATGTAATAAGAAAGAGGAAAGGAGAGACGAAAAAAAGAGAGAAGGTAGTAAAGATAAAAAAGATGATAAAGAAGCAAAGAACAAAACTGATGACAAGGATCGGGAGAAGGAAAAAAATGACGACGACGACGACGATGATTACGAGGAATCTGAGGTATTTTAAAGAAAAAAGCTGTTAATTAATTTATGACTAATGCATTTGTTGACTTAACGTTGACTTAAAATAAAATAACAATTATTTCGTAGGATGACGATTCAATTAAGGACGGTAAGAAAGATAGAGACAAAGACGGGAAAAAAAGAAAAACAAAACTTTACACATATGATCCTTATTTACTTTTATCCTTTGTATATTTTGATCAAACACATTGTGGATATATATTTGATAAGGATATAGAAGAGCTTATTTATACTTTGGGATTGAACCTGTCTCGAGCACAGGTTCGTAAATTAGTACAGAAAGTGGTTACTAGAGATTCTTTGCATTATCGCAAATTAACGGATAGAGCAAAGGATGACAACGGAAAGGATGAGAAGGATGTAGATAAAAGTGACAATGGAAAGGCTCAGAACGAAGAAGAATTATTGCGTTCGTTAGCTCTTGGTAAGTTTGATAATCTTCCAAAGAATATTTTTAAGAATATTTCGCAGTTTTTAAATAACAAGAAGTTCTATCGTTTTTAGGAAACAAAAAATTATTACCTGTATTCGTGTCAAGTGGGCCACCTTCTAAAAGAGCTAGAAGAGATGATAAATCTACAGGAATAACTGAAGAAGAATCGATACCAGAAGGATTTGTTATATATAAAGGTTCTTTATTAGACGTTGAGAAATTAGTAGGTCAATTGAAAAGATCAGAAAAAGCTCGTTTAGATACAGAAAACCGTATGATAGAATTGCAAACTGAATTAGGGATTGTTAATGAAAAGTCATTAAAACAAGCAAACAATTTGAAAGGTTTGTCCGAAGATTTAAAGATTTACAAAGATAAATTAAGATGTACGGATGAAAAACTTAAGAAAGTTTCGGTAAGTTCTCTTAAAATTTGATAAATTAAAACGAATAGAAATATAGTATTAAATAATATTTAAAATATCTTTACAGACTGAATGCCATAATTATTTAACTGCAGTAAAAAATATGTATCATATAGCTTCAAAAATGGTGCAGGGTGATAGCAAAAAAGTGGAAATTGTAGAAATACAAGATGAAAAAATTGTAGCGGAAGTTAATGGCTCTGAGATAGAAAATAAATGCAAAACTGATACACGATGGGGTGATAGTAAAGTTATAATAAAGGATGAAACTGATAAAGATAGAAAATGTGACAACAAAATTTCTATTAAAAAAGAAATAATAGAAACCGACAAAGAAAAGAAATAAATGAATGTTGATATTCATAGTGGTATACACAAATAAATACATTGGGACATTTTCATAATAAAATATGATCGTGTTCAGCATTGTTAGAAAGCAACTATAATATTAGTTTTTTCACATGTGAAAGTCAGTGAACAAAAATTCGATTTTTATAACATTTTGCACCAAATGGGAAAACAGAAAAACTCGTTATGCTAGTAGATTAATATAATGAGTCAAATGTTTGTTGATGAAAATGATAACAGACGATATACCATACCTATGCGTTATTGTTTTAAATAAATCCTATCGATATATATCTAAGAAATAAATTCTTGGGAATATTAGTATAAATTGGATCCACCATAAAATACCGTATGGTAACAAAGGATTAATTTGCAAAAGTGTATTTAGATGTAATCTCATAATTTATCAGCTATATATATAATACGAAAACATTAAGTTACCGATGAATTGTAAAAATTAACTAAAATTTCACATGAAATAGAAACTTTTAATGTTTTATGTTAAATATTACTTTTTTATACTGTTTTTCTCACACACAGCATATTTTTCTAATGCAGTGGAGAAATAACCTGATATATTTTCCATAAAATTTCTTTATTGGTATGTACTTTTCAGAGTGATTACTGATTGTTGTTACTGTAATATATTAACATTGCTTTCTAAGCATGATATTATATATATCAATTATGTGGTGTATATATATAACAAAATATAAAAATGATTAACCGGTTTTTACAATATCAATGAAACTACATATTATGGTTATATACGATTAGTAAATATAATTTTAACATTATGCATCGTCAAACATATGGATTGTATATAAGAAATCTGTCACCTAAATTTTTATAAATCAGCTGTATGCATGAATAATCTTGAATTCGTAAGTGGACATGAGAATTAAACTAAGTATGTTATAGGAAACATATTCAATAACTAATATTTTATCTTTGGACACGACCTTTTACCATTTAAATGGACAAATCTTTTCGTGTAGCTTAAATTTTGTTAGTCCCGCAAATACAATAACTATATCGTAATATAAACAGATAATATGTGAGTTGTGTCATAATATATGCAATATTGTATTTCACTCATTGAATATCTCTTCGAACGATATTATACGTCATAGAAATATTTCTTTTCCCAAAGCACATAACGTACAGCACATACTGTAGTATTTTGTACATACCTGTGTTACTTGGAAAAATTGTAATGCAAGTAGCAGATATTACCATAAGTTGAAATCATATTACATATGAAGAAAATAAACTTATACTTAAGCAATGATATGGAGTCTATAAAAATTACTCACGCGTAAGTATACTATTAAATAAACGGTAGTAAAAAAATTAAATAAGTAAATAATTATACCTATGTTATACTATCTTTCTATATTTATTATACTTTTCTCGAAGGAAGATAATTTTCTTATACTATTAATCTACCTTAGATATAAAATTGGAACAGAGATTGAAAACATACAAATAAAAGAACATTTGTTTTATTAGCATGTTATATTTAAAACTATGAATGTAAACGTATTTACAAATGTACAAATTCAGAGTAAATTGATTAATATTATTGAAGTACGTATTCATCATCTCCTACTTATAATATATATTTCTATATTATTCTTTTACTGAATTATAGATGCCAAGTGGTTCTATTAGCAAATTATACCGTTGGATTAAAACAAAAATAGTTGCTTTTAGTAATAACAATTAAAATGTAAAGTATTTAAAAGATGAAACTACCTGAAATATTTACATCAATTATATAAATTTTACGTTCTTACATTAAGATTAATATAATTATAATTCTGCTGACAATTAATAATTTTTAATTTTTGAAAAAGTACATGTATTTATCTACATGTATAGAATATATACTTATATTACATGATTGGTCAATTATTACAAACTACAGTATATACCAACAATTACATATCAGAAATTATAAATATACTTTTAATGATTCAATTATATGTTCTATCTTTATAACAAGAAATATTTTTAAGTATGTATAATTTACAAACGTATAGAGACAAACGAAAGAATTACGAGGATTTCATTTTACACAAGAATCGTAAATGCAACATCTTTACCTCGTCAGTATTCAATTTCACGACACCTTCTTGATTGTCGATCGAAAGTAATGTACCTATGGCTTCTCGCTCTTCGCCTATAATAACTTTCACTCGGTCACCTCTCGAAGGTACTACTGGTTCCAATTGATCGCAGACCAAATTTACGACTCTGTCTTCCACAGGTAGAAACACAGCACACATACCGGCCTGATTGATAAGAAATTATTTGAATAATTCAGCTTTTATTAAATATTACGAATGAAAATGTTTTATATACTCACAGAAATTCCTCGTATAACACCTTGCTGTCCTGCAAGTGCAGGATCTGGATGAGAACCCCGAATACGTACTTCTATGTCTGTTGTGTGCCATTCGGTGTGATTGATGATTCCCGACGTAACTCCAGTATCTAAACCTGCACCAGGAGTTTGAGGATTATACGGACTTCCAGGGACTCCTACAACGGACACAAAAATGTATAATTTAATGGAACAGGAAATTTATGACATTTAGGACGTATTAAATAAAATATGTATTGTATATTTTACCTGGTGTCATGGGACTATAACCCATTGGTGATGGAGTAGCAAATGCTCCATGAGGACTTGTAGTATATCCAGTCCCATTTGGAGACGGTGTAGCGACATAGCCTGCAGGACTTGGACTCGCAGTCGTACTTCCCGCAGGACTTGGACTAGGTTGATATGAGCTGAAACTTTGTTCGGATCCATACATAGTACCAGGTGTTTGAGGAGTAAATGGACCACCGGTAGGAGGATAGCCAGGTCCATATCCAGGTGAACCAGCTTCTTCCATATTGTAACCATCGAAGTCGTTTGTTCTTGCTGGTGTATTAGTGACTGTAGGATCCCAAGCACCTGACTGACCAGGTGTCCGTGAACCATCATGAGATGGCGTCATAGAACCATAATGAGGAGTACGTGATCCATCTGTAATAGAAATATAATCAATCATTTCTAAATATCAGATGTCTGAAAAAATTTCAAGCGTAATTATGAACGAGACTCACTTTCGTACATAGGCGTCTGAGATCCATGCATAGGAGTTTTGGATCCATCTCTCGCGTACATTGGTGTTTGTCCACCAGCCGTGTACGCTGGTGTACGACTGTAACTGCTGAAACCACCGTCTTTTGTCGGTACTCCAACGTTTGCAATGTGAGATCTGTCCACGGATATCGTTTGACACGTCGAATGTAGTTCTACACGCGCAGTAGTTTCTGTAGCATCTTTAACTATGCCTACGTTTCCTTTATACGGTCCGCCAGTTATTTTTATAGTCGTTCCTATTAACTCTCTGTCTCTCCTTATACCTCCACCGCGACCTCTACCTCTACCACCGCCACCTCCTCCTCGTCCCATACCTCCTCTATATAAAAAAAAAAAAAAAATAAATTGTATATTTATTGTGTATTGAAAATATATTAAATAAATAGAAAGGAGACAACAAAAATATGATACTAACCCGCTCGGATGCATTGGTGAAGCAATTCTTGGTGACATGAAACCTGAGATTGGAGATATAGATGTAATAGCTGATTTGTTCCCACCAGAAAGTTGTAGATGTCTCGTTTTACAAACGAATATGCCTCCATTATCAACAAACATTCTTGAATGTAAAAATGCAAAACTTCTATAAAGATGTTTTATTTCACCACCTCTTCCTGCGTGTGGCCCATCAACTACTTTGACAATATCTTTTTTTTGTATAGGATTTTGTTGAGAGTCCAAAGCTACCGCATTTCTATTCTCTCGACGCTTCGTAAGTCCTTGTGGTCTAGCTTCAATCACTTTGCCATGCATAGAAAGAATATGAAAATTTTCACGCTCAAGACGAACTATAACACCGACCGTTTGAGCATCAAGTTGAACTAAATCACCCCATTGAAACTGGCCTAAACTATCGACACCAGTTGCCATATCCGAACATAATTGTAAATCTCTTGGAAGAACTTCCAGTTCATGCATCGATAAATCAGAAAACAAAACTATTCTGTTTTGTTCGACTCTAACGATTAAACCTGTGTCACCTTCGTATCGTCCCGCTACTACCTGCAAATTGAAACATACTGATTATATTTTACTGATATTTCACTGATTATCATACAAAAGATATTCTTACTTTCACATGATCACCCATTGTAAAATGTTTTCTTAATTCTGTTGATTGAAATTCTAAAGCCTCCTTTAGCTCTTCGTGTTTTGGCATGACCATTATCATGTTTCCATCTATCGAAACGATCTTGCCTTGCAAGTTTATCAATTCACCTTCGCATACTTCTACATTATCTCCATTACTGAAGGAATGTACCACTCCTTGATCCTCTTTTCCAGCAGGTACTCCTGTTGTTGGAGTTCCACTTAAATCTATCTCGATGCCCTCGGGTGCTTCCTCAAATCTCTCTAACTCGGAAAGAGTTGGCTTTACACCTTCTGCTATAATAGCACTTGTAGTGAAATTTTTATAAAGAAATCTGGAAAAAAAAAAAAAAAAAAAAAAAAAAAAATCATTATTTTAAACAAGAGGTAATGTAATATTAGAGGTAATAGAAACTAGAAAAATGTATGTACTTACCCCTTTCTACTATACCTATTGCCTTCAAAAATTAAAAAATCTCCATCGCTAGTAACTTCTCCTCCGATAGCTCGAATGGCTTCGGGATCGAATGGTTTAGCAGGTGGTCTTCTCTTTTTTTTTCTCTTTAAAGCTTCAGATTCGCTTTGTGCCGTTCTTAAAGCACCACGGGGCCGGGTGTAATCTATTCTTGGCAGTAACTTTAAGTGCACTTGATTTTGTGCTAAGTCAACATAATCTACCTGTGCTATATCATCTTTATAAATTCCTCTTTTCAATCTGACCCACTGTTTAGCCTTTAATCCTGTTTGTTCTTTCACAACTCTTAATACATCAGTCATTTCTTTAATTGGTACCATCTGCTGTTTCCATATACCCATTCTTAAATTTCCTACATTTTCAATAGCAGCTTTTATGTGTGGTTGTTTGTAAGCTTCTATATAAATATAACCTTTTACACCTTCAGGTACAACAACTGACTTGATTTGAAGTGGTTCTCCTACAAGAAAAATATGAACAAAATTCATTAAGAAATAGAGTTAATTAGATTAAAATAGAAAATGAAGAATATATAATACCAGAAAACTGATATGTAATAAATTTCCGCATTAATAAAAGTACAGTTGCTCTTTCTTCTCCAATACGGCATTTTATCATCCAGAGATTTGGATCTTTAACTCCAGGAAGTAAAGTTTGTTGAGTAATTTCATCGCTCATCTCTTCACCTCCATCACCAAAGTGTCGAGCAGCTGCAGACTCATCTGCATACTTTTTCCTCAAATATTCTTCTATTTCATCTTCTTTTTGAGAGCTGATATAAATTAGTTTTAATGAGGAATGAGTATTATTTATAAAATATGTATTATCATTTTCTAATATATTAAATATTAAAACTTACTCCCATAGATTAGTACCTCTCCGTCTTCCTTCAATTTCCCTTGCAGTAGGTCCTAATTCATCTACTTCATTCCCTACAATGCCAATTTCTTGAGCTCCTTCTTCCCACTCTTCGTCATCTTCAACTTCATCATCTACTTCAGCCTCATCAATGATAAATCCACCAAATCTATCTTTCTTTTTTTTCTTCCTAGGTCTATCATCGTCTTCTTCCTCTTCCTCTTCATCATACTCGCTACTGCCATCCAGATCTTCACCTATAATCATAGAATATTACTATTAATTTCATTTGCTATACAATATATTGCAAATATTCAAAGTATTTTACCTTCTGGTTCTTCTTCTGGTTCCACTGCTTCTTCATCACCAGATTTAACTTCCTCAGCTTCATCAGCTTTTGCATCTTCATCTTCTGACCTAAATATTCATACATGATAAATAGAATAGAAATTAAAACAAAATATATGAATTTCCCATAAGAAAGAAGTAAAACACTGTTTACCCTGATCCTGATTTTGACCGTGATCGAGACCTAGAGGGACTTCTCGAAGGTGATCTGGAAGGGCTTCTACTGCATGAAATACTACGATTTTCATCTTGATCGCTTTCACTACCTCCACCCCCACGATCACTTTCATTATCGGAAAAATTACTTCCCTCTGATTCGGACATGTTTTATTTTTATTAAGAAAACGTAATTTTCACCTTAGGTTAATCTCTTGTTTGTATTTCATATGCGCAGCATAAAAGAACCTCGACGAGAAAAGGAAACAACTTTGGACTGGGTGTCCACAACAGAAAAAAATGGAAAAAAATTGTCTGTTAACATGTATAAAATCTTATCGATAAACAATACTGTACTCTCTTAAACATTAAATAATATGTATGATAACTACACCAAATGATTTCGAATAAGTTGCTGGATACTTGACGGACAATACTTGTCTATTGCAAGCACTTCCGTATCACGTGGCAAAAGACTGCCAGAATAAGGGAAAAGAAAGAAAAAAACGCGTATCACATGTTTTTAAGAATCCCTTCATAACGTGAACGTTTACTTGCATCAACTGCACGTTGTTATAAGCGGCGGCACATCATTGGCGGGACCAAGTGATCCATCAAAAATCCGTGTGAATGCGACACAAAAATAACTGGGTAAAATTCATTTTCTAAATAACTAAATAACTTTTTAATTAAACTATTATATCATAATGAGATTATATCATTAATAGATAAAGGAAGATGTAATTAATATTTTAGATAATTTTATATAATAATTGTCTTTTAACCGATTCTTTATTAAATTCAATAAAATAGAAAATTATACTAAAATCATATGTAGAGGGAAGTCCAAATCGATTGAGATCGATATAACTGGCAGGCTTACCAACTTTTATAATTGATATAATCTTACTATTATAAAATATAATATTTTATATTACAATATTAAATATGAATAATTCTTTAATTTACAATAGTCTATAATTTTTAATCTGATAATGAAATAGTACTTTTATTCTAGTTGTCCATTAGCAAGATGCGTTTTTACTTCGTGGCGTCTCCGCTATGAATGGTTCAGTATTTACATTTATTTCGTTCATGTTTCGCTCTTAATTCGTTGCCAATCGCTTGAAATAGTTTAATGGTGGAAATGTGTACGTAGATTGAGTCAGTCAAGAATTAAAAATTTTTTATAATTCTAAAAATAATTACGAATAACAAAAAAAATTTTCGTAAGTATTCCACTATGCATTATGTGAACTAATTTTCTATGTAAATAACATAAATTATTAATTCAAAATTACAATTCAAAATAATCAAATATAATTTTAAACAAATGTTAAAAATGTTTTAAGATAACTCTTTGTGATTATCATTTTACTCGATAAATTTTGTTTCTTTTTAGAATAGAACTTATCTATAGAATGATAGAATTAAAAGCATAATGAAAAATTGATTATTTGATTATGACATGGATAATTCTATAAATTAACTATTTATATATTTTTTAAGTGAGATGTCACAGATTACCGTAACATCAAGTGTAATGGAAAGAAGCATTCATGAAATGTTAAAAGATGCTCCTTCTTTGAATGAAAGCGATAGTGCTGTTCATTCTGGAACACCTCCACCACATGTTCCAAATAATTGTAGTGGAGACAATTTACCGAGACCAGCTACCATAAATTTAACTGTAGGTAGCTCGGTACCACAGACATGTATGTATATATTATCTATTATAATATTTTTATAACACTAATTATTTAAATGTATAATAGTAAATGATTATTAATTACATGAAAATAGTCTTAATATTTTATTTAGAAATAAATTTGAAACTAATACTTTAACAGCAGTGAATGTATCTCCAAATACACCTATCCAAAACGGAGATACACAAACAATGCGTACGGCTCAAAGCAAAATTGAAAGTATTAAAAATTGGAGTATTTCTACATATAAATGTACTAAACAACTTATGTATGAAAAACTTGGGAAAACATCACGTACCGTTGATTCTGGTAAGTTTCTCTCAATTAATTAAATTAATAAAATTTGTACAAATTTTTAAATATTGTTTTAAATAATTTCTTTTGAAGTATTTCTTTTTTACATGTAAGTTATTTACAAATTATTTTAATATAATACAATTTATGTGTTATTTGCAATAATATTAAACTGTAAGATGTATTAAAATGTATTATAAAATATAATTTTATCGATTGAATATTTCTAGAACTTGAGAGTCAAATTGAATTATTGCGAGACACTCAAAGGAAATATTGCAATATCTTAAGATTATCTCGGGCTTTAGCCTCTCACTTCCATCATGTGGTACAAACTCAACATGCTTTAGGAGAAGCATTTTCTGAATTAGCACAAAAATCACCTGAATTACAAGAAGAATTTTTGTATAATTCTGAAACACAAAGAAATTTGACTAAAAATGGGGAGACACTACTGGGGGCTTTGAATTTCTTTGTATCTTCTGTAAATACTCTTTGCAATAAGACTATTGAAGATACTTTACTAACAGTACGTCAGTATGAAATAGCACGGTAAGGGAGATGACATTTTAAACACAAATATTTTTACATTAAAATAAAACTGCAAAATAATATGTATCTGTATATAGTTAACGTGCTTTATTATGTAACAGGATTGAGTATGATGCATACAGAACAGATCTTGAAACACTAGCACAGGCTATAAAGTCAGATGGAAATAATGCAGCAAGATTAGAAGAAGCACAGTTAAATTATGAAGAACACAAACAAAATTTTGAAAAATTACGTTCTGATGTTTCAATTAAATTAAAATTTTTAGATGAAAATAGAGTATGTACGAATTTATTAAATATTTAATCATATATTTATTATACATTATTATATAAATCTTTTTTCCTTTCAGATTAAAGTAATGCATAAACAGTTACTCTTATTTCATAATGCAGTATCTGCTTATTTCTCTGGGAATCAAACTGCATTGGAAGCAACACTTAAACAATTTAATATTAAAGTTAAATCTCCAAATTCATCTTTACCATCATGGTTAGAACAGTAGTCTTTGATAATGTGTATTTGAAGAATCATGAAGAATATAAGAGAATGCATTCGTCCATACGAATCTCCTTTAACACAACATACAGTAAAGGTAGGATTCCTAAATATCAGGATAGTTACTCGTACATATTGAGCTGCCGAATACTTTATCAGTTTAAATCATTTATAAATCAGGAAGATGTATTATATGATGTAAAAATGACAGACTGAATTGTATTGATTATAGTTTCTCTGTACTAAGTCATAAAAAAAACCACATTTAGTGTCTATCTTTTTGAAAATAAGTATCCCGCCTATTTTTCTTATTAATGGAGATATCAAAACTGATATTTACAATCACGTATATTCTCCTTAATGAAAGAAGTTGCTGGATATTTGTCTTCAAAAAGGCATTAAGTACTACTAGTATTAATCCTAAAAACTCCAGGAATTTTTCTATTATTAACTTATTTACTTATTTAATATATTTTTTATTTATCTGATATGTATTACACATACAATTATATAATAACATAATAAAAAATGATACATTTAACCAAAACTTTTCCATATTAATTTAAAATTAATATTTTATTACGTTTTTGGAGTTTATAGGGTTAATTATAGAATTGCTTGGGCAGTGCTTAAAATAATAAGAAAAAGATCTGTTAAAGGATCATGACAAATATTTAATGCTTTTAACTTTTTTAAGTCAATATATGTTTAATTTTGTATGTCTTCAACTTCTTAATGAAATTTTCATGTATATAAAAATTATTCTGATAAATTAATATATATAAAATTTATAAAATGTGTTAGAAGTAATATTAAATAGCTTGTTAACATTTTATTTTTTCAGTTCGTATAATAGAAAGAAATTGTCTATTGATATGATATATATATATATATATATATATATATATATATATATTATATTTACAGGGGAATAACTATCAATTAGTTAATAACATTATCATAAATATTATATGATTCAATCTAAATAATTTGATTTTCATAAAAAAAAACACTCCAAGTTGTTATAAAATGACAATCTCAATCAATAAATTCCAATATACTTTGAATAATAATAAAATACAAACATTTTTTTCTAACATATTTATTATTTATGAAATTCATAGAATTATTATCAATTAAAATGTTGAAAAAGTAACTTTGATAAATTTTTTGAAGTACAACATGAATATCTTCCTAAGTATCTCTATCATAAAGAAGTAATTGTATGTAAATAAATATTGAATAATTAATTTCTTTTTTACATGTTGAAAGGAGATATAATAAATAATTTATTTTACAAGCTAGTCAAATTTAGTTTTATTTTAATACTAAAGCGATATACTTACATTAACATATTTAATTTTATTTTTTACAATTTTGCATAATTATTTATAATATGAGTAACTCAAAATATAATACAATTTTATCATTATATTTTAAGGAAATCATTCTGGTAATATAACATTAAATTGTTATGCTTCGTGTTATATTCCTGTATGTTTGATTATTTGCACATGCTTTAATGTAGATATTGACATAGAAAAGTAAAATTTGTTTTATTAGAGAAGATTATCTTATGATCATTAATGCAATATTAAAAATTTCTCAAGTTGAATCTTCTGAAGCAAATATGATATATAATGACTACATCAAGTATGTAAAATGTATGTAAGCCAATGTTATACAAAATGTGTAAAAGACGTACACAGTGTTTGATAATTGATTATGAAAGATCTTAATTATAAGTAGTGTATAATTCTGCTTTAATATATTATATTATAGATATTTTATTTAATATGTTTTACGCTTATTCAATGTGGAAAATGTGAAAAAAGAACGTTTTAATATTAATAATAATTTAATTATTGTTAAAACCATTCCAGGTATAAATTTTTAAATTATCTATAGTTTAGGAGATATGTAAAAGTTGCTATATATAAATGCATATGAAACCAGTTACTAGCTAATAAATTACTAGCTAACTGTATGAAATAATTTACATGAAAACAATATACGGCTTAATAATTTTTTTATGTGTAAGAAGAAATGTAGTTTGTGTAAAGCGTGTTTCAGATTCAGTAATTGCCTCTTTTTTTGCTTCAAATTACACATTGTGAAATAAAATTGTTGTTTATAGCCTCTATTTTAGTTTATTAAATTTTCATAAAACAAATGCAATTATGTTTTATTGACAATTATATATAAGAAGCATGTTCTATTTTACGATATCATATCAGTTCAACTTGTGTTTTTCATGACTGTACTACAGTTATATAATATAATTATTTGCATATAAACAAAACTATTTTTTAATAGTTTTCTCAAAATTTGAAGTACTAAAAGAGATAATTATCAAATTTGAAACTTTCTATCTAGTATGTTCCTAATTATAATGTTATTGTGTGTGTATATTATGTGTATACAAATTCTTAATAAATCAATGCTTATATAATCTGTAATTTTTTTGAAATATTACAGTCATAATAATCTGATAAGTTTGTTATTATACTATAATTGTTACTGATGTATATGATGATTAATCTTAAATTTAATTTTAATTAGAATGCATATTACTATATAAGTACGGTGATGTATTTTAAATTCCATAGATATTTTTCCTATTCAAAGTAATGAAATTTTTGTTTTATTTAAATTTGATATTAAAGATGTAAGTAAAGATGTGGGTACATATGATAGATAAAGAAAGTACAATTTTTTATACAAATAAATATATTATTATAATTTATCTTATAGTTGTTCCTACTTTCTGTTCATCTTCTGATTGTGCCATTATTGTTGCTTGATTGTTATTCATTTCTTCTATTCTTTTACGAACTAGAATAGGTTGGATTTCCATATATAATTCCATAATTTTGTGATTTGCATGTATATGCTTCTCTGTACAAGTTTTTATACATAAATCCTGTAAATAAAGAATGTTTTCAACATATTTTTAAAGATTTTACATATTACAATATGATTAAATTTTTAGAATAAACTACTGTTAATTGTACCTCGTTAGAAGTTATTTCTCTAGTAAGGAATGTATCAGCACATCTCTTGAAGCAAGTCTCTGATATTTGATTGTATACAAGAAGAAAGTCTCGAAACTATCGAGAAAAGAAAATATAAGAAAATTTTTGTATACTTCCTCTTATTCTATAAAGTATAATTAAAAAACAAATTACATTTCTCAATTGAAGAAGGTCCATTTCAAAGTTTGATGATAAACTAAATTATTAAATTATTATATTAGTAAAAGATATTCAAATTTAAATGTCTCAATTCATGTATATAAATAAGTGCTTTTATAATAGATATATAAATCTACAGGGATTATACATAATAATTTCTTTTGTAATTTCTTTTTGACACGAATAATATGATTTTTTATAGCGAACTTAAATTAATATATTTACAAGACAAATGAATTGGTCAAAGATATAATGCAGAATAAACGAAGAAATAACAAAATATTTATAAAAACGAAAAACAATTACAAATAAAACCTACAATCATTTAATCTTAGACACGACACTAAAATATACGATTTTCTTTTTTATACAATATTCGTAATGATTGATTCTTAGCACGGTTATCAAAAAACGTTCACTGGCTCTAATATCATTAATGTCTCTCCAGGGACTAAATTGGTAGGTTAAAATTTCATTAGAATGTAAAATGTAAGCATAAAGAAATTGACTAATCTCGATTCGTCGTAATCGAGTATTACGCTTTCCGTAACCCTTCCACTTTTGTCCATAAAATTTAAAATGTAATGTCGAAAAATTCCGTAAGGATAAAAGTTTTACGGTAGGCGCTTTCTGGACAACCAATTATAAATCATCATAAAATACGCGGTTTAATTTGAAATTTAACACCAGAAGTTAATGAGGTTATATGTTAACAGTATTTATTTAAAGAAATGAGCGATCATAATCAATATTGTAATATGTTTGATAATTTTGAAAATGAAGTACTTGAAAATGAAACTGCTAAAGAAAATTATGAATTACTCATTGATCCGATGAAAGCATATAATAGTCACTGAAGTTTAACTGGTCCTCCCAACCATTTTTCGGATAATCCTCTTAGTCCTCATGAATCTGATGGATCAACGAGAAGTTCGATGCTGGAAAATTTTTGCGAAGTTAATTGTTAATCAATTAGAAAGATTACCACAATTTGAAAAACAAAAAAGGCAGCAAGCAATTATACAAATTTTGTATGAACCTTATAACTCTTGAATAGGTGATAATGAAGCCAAAGCTATGAACCGTTTTGATATTTTAGATATCATACTATTGTATGTTGTACCGTTGCATTTTATATTTTACATTTTATATTCAAGATTTAATCGTAACAAGTCTTTTTTTTAATTCTTATTACAGATTTTGTTCAGGCCGATATTCAATTAAGAAAAAAATATAACTATAATAACTTTATTATACATGATACGTTTACGGCATGAGATATTTCTTCTTATTAAATATAAATGATTCTAATATTCATACATCTAAATAAATTTCATATTAACATAAAATTCGTAATTTAATACAAAATTGTTAATAAACTATAAAATAGAAGCTTATTGATTATTTAATTGAATGACAAAGCACATTAACATTTCTAGGTTAAATAAGTTTGTAAATGGGAGGGAAATTTTTCGTGTTTGCTATTGGTTAAATTTTACGTACAACTGTGTCATGAACTATATCTTTTAGTGTATGATAACCTTACGTTGCCATCGTAACGCTGTGTTACGAAACGTACAAAATGTTACGTTACGGTTACGGTTAGTGTAGTGGAAGGTGTATGTGGCCAGCATAAAAGGAAGTAAGTTCCATTTCGATCAACTTCGATTAACTTTAATCAATTATTAACTAAATTAGCAATGTAGTCAATAGAAAAAACTTTTAATTGTATGTCTTTCTTAGCTTATATTTTCGTGATATCAATAACTATTTAAAAATTGTATATATAGTATGGAAATGTACATATGTATTCTCTTAGTTTATTTTAATTAATATTTTTTTGTTCTATAAAACTATTCTATTTATGAAAACTATATCTATATTTGTTATAAAAGTTTTTATTTGTTGTTAATTAACATCAATTAAGAATAGAGACATATTGATTAGTTTTATTGTTTATGTTACATTATTGATTATCACATAACCTATATATTATTGGATAGAATGGCTCCAAGATATGAATTAGCTGTTGGCCTCAACAGAGGCCATAAAACTACTACCATCAGAGTGGCAAAAAGCAAAACAGAGAAAGAAAAAACTGTTATTCTTCGACCATCTAGATTAAAGGGGGTATGAAATATAAAAATAAGTATTGATACATTAATTAATAAACTTATATAACTAATAATTAATTCATAATTTCAGAGGCAAACAAAGCATAGCAAATTTGTAAGAGACTTAATACGTGAAGTAACCGGACATGCTCCATATGAAAAGCGTGCAATGGAATTGTTGAAAGTATCGAAAGATAAACGTGCTTTAAAGTTTCTGAAAAGAAGAGTAAGAAATAATACTATTATATTTGTCTAGAAAATATACTATATTCATTATGTGAAATATATATTAATCTATAAAGTATATGTTTCTCTACTTTCATTTTCTATTTCAGTTGGGTACACATATCCGAGCAAAAAGGAAGCGTGAAGAACTTGGAAATATTCTTGTACAAATGAGAAAAGCACATCATTAATTTTCTTAGATTAATGTATCTCGTATGAATATTATTAAAATATATTCATTAAAAAGAAATCCTTAATTCTAAATTTTATCTTATTACCGTTGTAAATGAACATTCTTTAATTTTAATTTAAAATAAGTGATTTTACAATTTTTTATGTTTATTTAATTTATTATGATCAATTATGATACGCATGATATCAAAAGTTTAAACAATTTATTTAACTATTGAATATTTACGCAAACAGTCAGATTTGGGTTATTTGTAATGACGCTATATATTTTCTCTCAAATAATCGAATTTTCTAATAAACTATTATGAAATATTTAATATTTTATTTCTATAAATATCAAGATAAAACAAGAAAACAATAAAAGTAGAGGATGAATCAAGCAGATTAGGAATGTCCTGTTCTAAAACAATAATTTTTGATGGTATTGTAATTTTTTTTTTAAATTGATAAAAATTTTATAAAATATGAATATTAATTACATCAAAAATTCTATATATTCAATGATATATATGTTTTCTACAGGCACAGAGTCAAATGCAGATAGATAAAAAGATTATAAAACACGTAGAACGATGCTGCCATCTAAAATTTTACTAATATTAAACTAAGAAATTTATAGCATATACACACATTTCTTATATTTTCACAAATCAGATCTCCAAACTATTATTTGTGGGTGTAATCAGCTACGACTCGAAGTCAATTTTTACATTATTACGTTTTATCTACGAAATTTGATAGATTATGTATTTACATTTTAATAATCGTAAAGAATTAAACGAATTTAATACTTCGCTTAAAAACTTTTGGAATGTTTCAAAACTTGAATTTGTTGACTTCAACTTTCATTGTTATGTAAAATAGTGATATTAAAATTAAAAACACGTTAAATTTACTCGGAATTTGACAATAACAATAAAAAAGTTTCAATTAAAAAGTTACGAGTGTAGTTGTGTTTAATATAATCACGTGTTCTACTTCGGTATCAGTTTCGTTGTATCACGTGAAAGAGGTCAAAAAATAAATTTCATTTTAATCTTCTCTTATCAATGACAAAGAAATAGGTATGTATGTTTATCAATATATTTTTCTCATTTCCAGTATCCCTGAGATGAGATTTTACTCTAAATAAATTTAAAAAAAGCATTATGAATGATTGTTTATGAATGATTTGTTTAAAAAAATATTATATTTCAATAATTTATCAAGTGTCTCAGGTAACTTTAAGTCTTTTTGAATTATTATCACATTTATGCGCCTAAATATTTAAATATAATTTACAGGTAATGTTAAATATTATAAAGTGTCATAAAAAAAGTATTTATAACCTAGGTATAACTAAGGTGAATTGTAAAATCTAAAATTTAGATTTTAATAAAGCGATGAATGCCGCTATTGCCTTATGTACATTTTGTGAAATACATGGACCTAAAGTAATATTTACCACTCAAACATATCGCAATTATGACAATCAAACTACAGAGAAGTTAAAGTTTTATGGACCAAAAGAAATATTAAAACAAGCGCAAACAACAATAGATGAAGGACAACAAGAATGCGAAGGCTGTCAGAGTATTAACAATTTAAAATACTTGAGTAATGAGCATGATACCAGAACATCCTTTTTATCTGCTCAACAACCATTGACTCAAGATATTGAAATTTTATTAAAACATGCATGCATCAGGTAGTTTGTATTCACTGTATTTTTTATTATCATTTAAAGTATATTTGTATTATAAATATTATATTTTATTAGGAGTCTTAGTTGTGAGGTACATCCAGGCAAAGAAGGTGTTTGCTATTTTGGAGATGAATACAGAGGGCATGTTTTAAGTCGTACTTTTACATTAAAAGATGCCCAGGTGAATTATACAACGAAAAAGCATGTTTGGTAGCTATTACAACAAATTATTCAAATCATTTTAATATTAGAGTTTTTTATATTATAATCTGTTAAAAGTTAAATTATATATACAAGATATAACAAAACTATATGGCAAAACATCAGGAATGGATTTTTTTTATATGTAGAAAAGAAGAATGAATTCTATCAGCATGAGTCTAAAAATGCTTACTTTTTGAGTTATAATACTTCCAATTATGATCTTAGTGTATTGTTATTCGTTAAATTATGAACTAAATGCATTGCATATAAACGCGAATGTACTCATTTGAGTACTTACATTATCTCATCAATACATTAGAATGAATAATACACATTCAATACATAAAACTCCAACAACACTTAGCAAACTTCAAAGCCAGGAGTTCAATGAGATGATTCAAGCTAATGTCTGTATTCAAGCATGAGCTGGACATATAAAATATTTGATATAAAAAAATGTTATTAGAGTATATCATAATTCCAGTAAATATACATAATTGGAGTATATTAAGATCATATTTGAAATTCTTATAATTCAGAAATCAAGAATTCCTAAACCCATATTAATAAAACCTATTTTTCTTCTCTATACCTGAAGGAATCTATACCTGAAATTTTGCTAGTTTGGTTACACTCTGTATATTAAAAATAATATTTTATTTGAAGATTTTATTTCATTTTTCTTAATCATCAATAGAAACATTTACTAACTTTGATAAAGCTTAGATACATTAATAGTAAAGTGTAATAAATAGAATAAATATGAATATATTGATATATAAAATTTCCTCTAATATATCCAGATTTAATTACTTTTACAGGCAAGAGGGTTTCGCAGATGGTGCAGCTTTATTGTTTTCATGAGGGACAAGCAATTTTTATTGAACATGTGGCCATTTTTAATTGATAATCTAAGAGAGGTCATTAGAGAATTACAGGACAGTGCAGAAAGAAAATATAATATTGAAGAAGCTGAATGTCCACAAAGAACGATGCGTTTGACTACTACGAATAGCAGCTCAGGCTCCTGTCATAATTCAACAAAACAAGTTAGAGCACTTAGCAGTATAACAAATGAGAAGCATGTTTATGTCAGGTATAAGAAATACTTTATATTGCACAGAGTACAGATATATATTTTTAGATTTTTGTAGAATCCACATGTGGCTTGTATGGATCCTTAGTGCAGGCGCTAGACATTTTATAGAAATTTTACCAATGAGTTTACTAGATAAAGAACTTAATTACAATTTAGAACATCGTATAGGTTAGTATAACAGATGAAAAAAATGTAGTTAAAACATATATGTACATTATTCAATTAAATTATATCATATTTTTTAGAAACTGAAGAAGGATTCACTTTGGTTAATACAAAATTACCTGTAAATTTGAACTTAAATACAGAAGAATCTCAATCATCAGAATATTCTGAGATTTCAGATAATGCTGCTATTCTTATTTTAAGAAATTTAAAAAAAATACTTAGCAAAGATCAATTCAGACAATTATTATACTCCAGTTTAACTGGCATTCAAATTTTGGTGAGAGGTCCAAAAACTCCAAGAATTGAATTGTTACATGGGTTAAGTTCACTGGTACCAAGAGCATGTAGAAGAGTACATGCACAAGCAGTAGAATATCTGGATCTAAATAAATATAATTTTATTGGTACATAAAATTTGTAATTATTGTAATTTAAGATATTGCAAATTTCTTGATACATAGAGGAATTAGGTACATAAAAAATAATTCTTCAGGAGTGGACACATCGGTAGCTGTACCTTTACCATCTCCAAATGTATGTAGATTGGATATTATAGCTGATGAACATAAAGTTGAAAATACACCATCGCATATAGTTAAATGGACTGGTTTACTCCCATTAAAACTTCCTACATTATTAGTAAAACTTGAAAAATCGTTGGAAGATGAGAAACTTGGAAATTCTGTTCTTAAGGCACACTTTATTGCTTTACAGAAAGAATGGGCAAAGTAAGAAAACACAAATTATTAAGTATATATAAACTAAATATAAACTTTTCTCTCTTTTATATATAAATTTGAATTTATTACAGTATAGCCAGGGTTGTTCATGCGATGCGAGGCAGAGGTCATCGTGGAGATCTTTCTGGTCTCATGCTTAGTTTAGGAGCTGGTCCTCATGATAAAAAACTGTTAGATGCATGGTCTATGGGTTTACCATCAAATCCTGCATAATTTATTTTTTGAAATTGTATGGGTTGTAGTATACCATTGGGGTACAAACACATTGTGTTGTTTCTTACACAAATCCTTTCCTAATTTTCGTGTTCTTACAGTAAATTATTATATATCAATTTCTTTTAATCTTATATGATCTTAAAATATTGATTAAGTAAAGATTTATTATCTTGCAAATTATAAGGTTAAGAACAATACTTTTTATAAAAAAAGATAATGAAATTGAAAAGAAAAAGAGGAAGCCATTAAAATAACTGTGCTGGTTAATTTAAATATGGTAATTGAGATATAACATATTACCTTTGAATCAATATTTTATTTACGATATTTACGTAATAACAAAAATAAACTTAAGAAATAAAATCATTTTTTAATAAAAAGTCGAGATTAAAATATTTTAATAAACTACGAACATAAACTATATACATTAATGATCCTTATCTTTAGAAATTAAAAATGATTTTTGAGTCTTTTTTGGTTTTACTTCTCTAAATTGTGATATTTCAGGAGAAAATGATATATATAAAATTTGAGCAACAGGAATCTATGCCTCCTTTGAGTTAGTTTTGAAATTTTAATAATATCACGTTAGATTTAAACATAATCGTGTTTTGCTATTTGAAAAGTATTAGTGAATATTTTTGAAGTACGGACAATGCTTTAGACGTATAATTATAATATTTATGTATTACTGCCAAAAATATACAACAAAAATACTACTTATGTAACATTATATGACCTTGAAACCATTCAACTTTTTTCCGAACATTTTTTGTATTATCAATATTCAAAGGAATTTATCAAATTGAAACACTTTGTATTTACATGTATAATGAGTATGTAAAAAATGAAAAAATAAGATGATATCGTTTCATATCATACATATTTTTATTATAAAAAGTTTATTGTATATTCGCACAGAGGTATATTTATTTTATATTGTTATGTTATTATGATGTTTTCTCTTTTTGTTAATAGCTTATTATAACACCAAACACAACAAATATTTAAATTTTGCGGTTATGTATTTCACTTTGAAACACTTGATGGCGCTGGACATCGTATCTGTAAAAACAGATTTTATTTCCCTTATGTTGCTTGTTGAGCATATGTGTTGCGGAAAAGTGTGATTGCTCTTTTATAATTTTTATGAACGTTAGTACATAACTACAGGTAAATTTGACAATTTATCAATATATTGATAATACATTGATGTTTTAACTGTTTTTTTCTTTTCTTCTTTTTTTTTTATTTTATAGAAAATATTGATCCGAATATTGAAAATATACTATGTTATTATCAGTAAATAATAAAAGGAATATATCTTTAACAACTAAAAAAATATTAGCATATATAATTAAAACATATTGTATTGATTATAGATCTTCAAAAATGAGTCGATTTTTCGCTAATGGTTCAGATTCTGAATCTGATAGCACATCTGAAGAAGAGCAGGTTCAAAGAGTACCAACTACAGCATTTACTGTAAGTATAAGTTTTTGTTTAATATTTTACTTTATAGTAGTTATTTTCTAATACATTTTATCTCAGTTTAGCGATGAAGAGGAAGAAACAAAGCGTGTTGTACGTTCAACTAAGGAAAAAAGATATGAAGAAATTGCTAATCTTATTAAACTCATAAGAAACTATAAAAAGATCAAAGATATGAGTAGTATGCTTTCTAGTAAGTACTTTTTATTCTATAAATATAGAAATCTAAGTTATTAAAGATATTCTAATTATTCTATAAAATATGAATTATAATTTATATCATACTTATATAATTTTGTTATTTTTTCTTAAGGTTTTGAAGATTTGATGCGAGCTTATCAAAAAGCTTTGCCTGTAATAGCAAAAGAGGAAAGTGGTCAGACACCACGTTTTTATATTAGATGTTTAGTAGAGATGGAAGATTTCATCAATGAAGTATGGGAAGATCGTGAAGGACGTAGAAATATGTCTAAAAACAATTCTAAATCGTTAACTTCTCTACGTCAAAAGCTTCGTAAATACAATAAAGACTTTGAAGAAGACATTGGAAAATTTAGAGAAAATCCAGATCAAGATGATGACGAAGATGATGATAAAGGTTCATTCCATAAGACTTTTATAAGTTTATTATATTTAGATAAATTTAATCATATATAATTATTACAAAAAATTATAGGTGAAGAAGCTGTGGAATCGGAAGAAGAAGAAGACAGTGCTCTTGTATTCAAAAAGGGTAGTTCAGAAGTCAGTGAACCTGACATATCTAAATTTAAGGTAATTTATTTTTAACAATATACAGAGCAAAGATATAAAATTACATATTTAAGAATGCGATTAAAATACAATTTTTGTTTACAATAATATAGAAGAGTATGGCTGATGGTGAGGATGGTAGTGAGAGTGAAACTGATTGGGGCAGTGATTCAGAGAGTGAAAGTACAAGTAGCGACGATGAGGGTCAATATCAAAATTACCGAGAACGATTTATTAAGAAGTAAGCAATGATTATCATATCCTCTTTAATTGATAGTTACAATGCAATCTTATATTTTAATGTTTTAGAGCTGCAGACAAAGAAGAAGATGAAGATAAAGTAAAACGAAAAGAACAGAGAAAAGAACGTAAAGAAAAAGAACGGAAGAAGAAGAAAGATGAAGATGATGGAGAAGGAGAATGGGAGACAGTCAAGGGTGGTGTTGCTATTCCTTCAGAAAAGCCAAAAATGTTTGCAAAAGATGCCGAAATAAATATATCTGCTGTTCTAAAGAAACTTTCCGAAGTAATTGCAGCTCGTGGGAAAAAACGTACAGATCGACGTGAACAAATAGAATTATTACATGAGCTACAGTCTATTGCTGATGCCCATAATCTTGGACCAGCAGTAGCGGTTAAAATTAAATTTTCCATTGTTTCATCTATTTTTGATTATAATCCCAAAGTATCTGATGCAATGAAGCCGGAATATTGGTCTAAGTGAGTACATTTTTTATAAGAAAATTTTTCAAGATGCATTGTTTTATTAATATTTAAACTATTCAACATGTAGAATATTAGAGCGTATAACAGAAATGCTTGACATGTTATTGAGTACATCAGATATGATGATCTCAGAAACTGTCTCAGAAGATGCAGAAGAATATGAAAATGCTCCATATAAATTACATGGTTGTGTTTTAACATTGGTAGAAAGACTTGATGAAGAATTTACCAAACTATTGAAAGAATGTGATCCACACAGCAATGAATATGTAGAAAGGTAATTGTGATGAGCTTAATGCAATAGTAAATACTCATTTTCAGATACGAATGTTTTTAAGATATATCATTATAGATTGAAGGACGAGAAACAAGTTGCAACAATTATAGACAAAGTTCAGGAATATCTTGAAAGGCAAGGAACTGTGTCAGAACTTTGTCGAGTTTATTTACGTAAAATTGAACACTTGTATTATAAGTTTGATCCGAATGTTCTTAAGCAAAAGGAGGTATGTTATGAACATTATTAATTTAAATGTTACAACGTTATATTTTGAGTTATATATCATAAGTAGCACTGATATCTGCAACACTTTGAATCGCTTTAAATCTGTATCATAGCTATGGTAAAAAATTCGAATCACTTCAAATTCAACACTCCATTAGTTTTGGTGATATTTTAATTTCAATATTGACAAAAAGTAACATACACCTTTCCTAAAATGTGAGAAGAATAGTAGTAAGTAAATAGTAGTAGTAATATTTAATTTTAAATATCTAAATACTATTTTTATGGAGAATATCGAGTTGCAACAGCTAGTGCATTTAAAAACGTATAAATACCATTTAAAAAATCAAAGTTGACATTCATATAATCTTCACAAATCCATTCACAAAAAAAATTAATAACATCAGAATATACCCCTCTCGAAATCATTTAATTTCTAACTAAAATATTTTTCATTAAAATTTTTATTAATATAATAATCAAAGTGATTCCAGTTAGATGCTCTACTTTGTATATAGATACCAAATATATCAGATCCTATCATTAATCATAAATATTTAATGTATCAATTCCCTTAGGGAGAACTTGAATCGGAAGTAATTACATCAGTACAGGTGATGGAGAAACTTTGCAGATATATTTATGCTCATGATAATACTGATAGGCTGAGGACACGAGCCATTCTTTCACATATTTATCATCATGCACATCACGATAATTGGTTTCGTGCTAGAGATCTTATGTTAATGTCACATTTACAAGAAACGATTCAACATTCTGATCCAGCTACTCAGGTGATTATAAGTACTTATATAAAATCTATTAATTAAAAATTATTCTTACAATCGACAACTTTTATTCTCAGATATTACATAATCGTACAATGGCACATCTAGGATTGTGTGCCTTTCGTCATGCAAATATTAAAGATGCACATAACTGTCTCGTTGATCTTATGGTGACTGGAAAAGTGAAGGAACTTTTAGCACAAGGTTTGCTTCCACAACGACAGCATGAACGAAGCAAGGAACAAGAAAAAATAGAAAAGCAAAGACAAATGCCATTTCATATGCATATTAACTTAGAACTTTTAGAATGTGTTTATCTTGTCTCTGCAATGCTTATTGAAATTCCTTATATGGCTGGTACGTTTATATATTATACATTAATGTTTTTTCTTTTTATAAAAATTATTATTTAATTTGATAACTCATTTATATTTAGCACATGAGTTTGATGCAAGAAGGAGAATGATATCAAAAACTTTTTATCAACAATTAAGATCAAGCGAACGCCAATCATTGGTTGGACCACCAGAATCTATGAGAGAACATGTTGTTGCAGCAGCAAAAGCAATGCGTAATGGAAATTGGTCTGCCTGCAATAATTTTATCATTAATGAGAAAATGAATGCAAAAGTAATTTCATCGTTACGATTTGACTATTATAGATTATATGTTATCTTTTTCTCTCTTCCTCTCTTTGTTTGTTTATTTATTTATTTTTTTTTTTTCATAGGTTTGGGATTTATTTTATCAGGCTGATAAAGTACGCACAATGCTTACAAGATTAATAAAAGAGGAATCATTGAGAACTTATTTATTTACATATTCACATGTTTATGATTCTATTTCAATGCCTAAACTCGCAGAAATGTTCGAATTAAAACGATCAGTTGCTCATTCCATTATTAGTAAGATGATTATTAACGAAGAGTTAATGGTATATTAAAAATATTTATTTTTTATATTTCATACAATAATATAAAACATATATTACATTATAATTCATATTTTTATAGGCTTCTTTGGATGATCCAACAGAAACTGTAGTAATGCATCGAAGTGAACCTAGTCGTTTACAATCACTTGCATTACAACTTAGTGACAAAGTAAATAATTTCGTAGATTCTAATGAACGTATTTTTGAAATGAAACAAGGTAATGTATCTAAACATAACAAAAAAAAAGTATTATCTACATAATCTAGCATCTATATACATATATAATTGTGTATTAATTAAGAATGCAGAAGTTAATGTTAATATGTAAATACGTATTATTTCAGGCAACTTCTTTTCGAGAGGGAATCAAGGAAACTTTCGTGATCGCCAAAATTATAATCGACAAGGACAAGATTGGGGAAGACAGAGACGCGATCGTGATCGTGATCGTAATCGGGAAGAAAACCGAAATTATTGAAATGATTATAAAATTATGTACTTTCTTTTCTTTTATATGTATACGCTCATAGATTATTAAGGGTTGTTAATATAGCGAGTTGTGGCATACATTTTAGAGAGATCATTATATATTAGTGCCAAAAGTATACGACAAAAATACTATTTATTTGATATTATATGACCTTGAAACCATTCAACTTTTTTCCGAACATTTTTTGTATTATCAATATTCAAAGGAATTTATCAAATTGAAACACTTTGTATTTACATGTATAATGAGTATGTAAAAAATGAAAAAATAAGATGATATCGTTTCATATCATACATATTTTTATTATAAAAAGTTTATTGTATAGTCGCACAGAGGTATATTTATTTTATATTGTTATGTTATTATGATGTTTTCTCTTTTTGTTAATAGCTTATTATAACACCAAACACAACAAATATTTAAATCTTGCGGTTATGTATTTCACTTTGAAACACTTGATGGCGCTGGACATCGTATCTGTAAAAACAGATTTTATTTCTCTTATGTTGCTTGTTGCACATATCTGTTGCGGGGTAGTGTGATTACTCTTTTATAATTTTTATGAACGTTAGTACGTAACCATAGGTAAATTTGATTATTTATTAATATATTGATAAATTATAAATATTATGCTTACATTTATATTATGAATATGTTTTATATCTATTTTTACAAGAAATTATACATTTTTATATAACCTCCTATAACTAAATCATGATACCATGCTTTTGTATTACAATTACGATTTGTATTATAATTTTGACTGTTGTACCATATATGTTTTAAAAGATATTTTAATTGGCTTTTTCTTTTCTTCTTTTTTTTTTTATTTTATAGAAAATATTGATCCGAATATTGAAAATATACTATGTTATTATCAGTAAATAATAAAAAGAATATATCTTTAACAACTAAAAAAATATTAGCATATATAATTAAAACATATTGTATTGATTATAGATCTTCAAAAATGAGTCGATTTTTCGCTAATGGTTCAGATTCTGAATCTGATAGCACATCTGAAGAAGAGCAGGTTCAAAGAGTACCAACTACAGCATTCACTGTAAGTATAAGTTTTTGTTTAATATTTTACTTTATAGTAGTTATTTTCTAATACATTTTATCTCAGTTTAGCGATGAAGAGGAAGAAACAAAGCGTGTTGTACGTTCAACTAAGGAAAAAAGATATGAAGAAATTGCTAATCTTATTAAACTCATAAGAAACTATAAAAAGATCAAAGATATGAGTAGTATGCTTTCTAGTAAGTACTTTTTATTCTATAAATATAGAAATCTAAGTTATTAAAGATATTCTAATTATTCTATAAAATATGAATTATAATTTATATCATACTTATATAATTTTGTTATTTTTTCTTAAGGTTTTGAAGATTTGATGCGAGCTTATCAAAAAGCTTTGCCTGTAATAGCAAAAGAGGAAAGTGGTCAGACACCACGTTTTTATATTAGATGTTTAGTAGAGATGGAAGATTTCATCAATGAAGTATGGGAAGATCGTGAAGGACGTAGAAATATGTCTAAAAACAATTCTAAATCGTTAACTTCTCTACGTCAAAAGCTTCGTAAATACAATAAAGACTTTGAAGAAGACATTGGAAAATTTAGAGAAAATCCAGATCAAGATGATGACGAAGATGATGATAAAGGTTCATTCCATAAGACTTTTATAAGTTTATTATATTTAGATAAATTTAATCATATATAATTATTACAAAAAATTGTAGGTGAAGAAGCTGTGGAATCGGAAGAAGAAGAAGACAGTGCTCTTGTATTCAAAAAGGGTAGTTCAGAAGTCAGTGAACCTGACATATCTAAATTTAAGGTTATTTATTTTTAACAATATACAGAGCAAAGATATAAAATTACATATTTAAGAATGCGATTAAAATACAATTTTTGTTTACAATAATATAGAAGAGTATGGCTGATGGTGAGGATGGTAGTGAGAGTGAAACTGATTGGGGCAGTGATTCAGAGAGTGAAAGTACAAGTAGCGACGATGAGGGTCAATATCAAAATTACCGAGAACGATTTATTAAGAAGTAAGCAATGATTATCATATCCTCTTTAATTGATAGTTACAATGCAATCTTATATTTTAATGTTTTAGAGCTGCAGACAAAGAAGAAGATGAAGATAAAGTAAAACGAAAAGAACAGAGAAAAGAACGTAAAGAAAAAGAACGGAAGAAGAAGAAAGATGAAGATGATGGAGAAGGAGAATGGGAGACAGTCAAGGGTGGTGTTGCTATTCCTTCAGAAAAGCCAAAAATGTTTGCAAAAGATGCCGAAATAAATATATCTGCTGTTCTAAAGAAACTTTCCGAAGTAATTGCAGCTCGTGGGAAAAAACGTACAGATCGACGTGAACAAATAGAATTATTACATGAGCTACAGTCTATTGCTGATGCCCATAATCTTGGACCAGCAGTAGCGGTTAAAATTAAATTTTCCATTGTTTCATCTATTTTTGATTATAATCCCAAAGTATCTGATGCAATGAAGCCGGAATATTGGTCTAAGTGAGTACATTTTTTATAAGAAAATTTTTCAAGATGCATTGTTTTATTAATATTTAAACTATTCAACATGTAGAATATTAGAGCGTATAACAGAAATGCTTGACATGTTATTGAGTACATCAGATATGATGATCTCAGAAACTGTCTCAGAAGATGCAGAAGAATATGAAAATGCTCCATATAAATTACATGGTTGTGTTTTAACATTGGTAGAAAGACTTGATGAAGAATTTACCAAACTATTGAAAGAATGTGATCCACACAGCAATGAATATGTAGAAAGGTAATTGTGATGAGCTTAATGCAATAGTAAATACTCATTTTCAGATACGAATGTTTTTAAGATATATCATTATAGATTGAAGGACGAGAAACAAGTTGCAACAATTATAGACAAAGTTCAGGAATATCTTGAAAGGCAAGGAACTGTGTCAGAACTTTGTCGAGTTTATTTACGTAAAATTGAACACTTGTATTATAAGTTTGATCCGAATGTTCTTAAGCAAAAGGAGGTATGTTATGAACATTATTAATTTAAATGTTACAACGTTATATTTTGAGTTATATATCATAAGTAGCACTGATATCTGCAACACTTTGAATCGCTTTAAATCTGTATCATAGCTATGGTAAAAAATTCGAATCACTTCAAATTCAACACTCCATTAGTTTTGGTGATATTTTAATTTCAATATTGACAAAAAGTAACATACACCTTTCCTAAAATGTGAGAAGAATAGTAGTAAGTAAATAGTAGTAGTAATATTTAATTTTAAATATCTAAATACTATTTTTATGGAGAATATCGAGTTGCAACAGCTAGTGCATTTAAAAACGTATAAATACCATTTAAAAAATCAAAGTTGACATTCATATAATCTTCACAAATCCATTCACAAAAAAAATTAATAACATCAGAATATACCCCTCTCGAAATCATTTAATTTCTAACTAAAATATTTTTCATTAAAATTTTTATTAATATAATAATCAAAGTGATTCCAGTTAGATGCTCTACTTTGTATATAGATACCAAATATATCAGATCCTATCATTAATCATAAATATTTAATGTATCAATTCCCTTAGGGAGAACTTGAATCGGAAGTAATTACATCAGTACAGGTGATGGAGAAACTTTGCAGATATATTTATGCTCATGATAATACTGATAGGCTGAGGACACGAGCCATTCTTTCACATATTTATCATCATGCACATCACGATAATTGGTTTCGTGCTAGAGATCTTATGTTAATGTCACATTTACAAGAAACGATTCAACATTCTGATCCAGCTACTCAGGTGATTATAAGTACTTATATAAAATCTATTAATTAAAAATTATTCTTACAATCGACAACTTTTATTCTCAGATATTACATAATCGTACAATGGCACATCTAGGATTGTGTGCCTTTCGTCATGCAAATATTAAAGATGCACATAACTGTCTCGTTGATCTTATGGTGACTGGAAAAGTGAAGGAACTTTTAGCACAAGGTTTGCTTCCACAACGACAGCATGAACGAAGCAAGGAACAAGAAAAAATAGAAAAGCAAAGACAAATGCCATTTCATATGCATATTAACTTAGAACTTTTAGAATGTGTTTATCTTGTCTCTGCAATGCTTATTGAAATTCCTTATATGGCTGGTACGTTTATATATTATACATTAATGTTTTTTCTTTTTATAAAAATTATTATTTAATTTGATAACTCATTTATATTTAGCACATGAGTTTGATGCAAGAAGGAGAATGATATCAAAAACTTTTTATCAACAATTAAGATCAAGCGAACGCCAATCATTGGTTGGACCACCAGAATCTATGAGAGAACATGTTGTTGCAGCAGCAAAAGCAATGCGTAATGGAAATTGGTCTGCCTGCAATAATTTTATCATTAATGAGAAAATGAATGCAAAAGTAATTTCATCGTTACGATTTGACTATTATAGATTATATGTTATCTTTTTCTCTCTTCCTCTCTTTGTTTGTTTATTTATTTATTTTTTTTTTTTCATAGGTTTGGGATTTATTTTATCAGGCTGATAAAGTACGCACAATGCTTACAAGATTAATAAAAGAGGAATCATTGAGAACTTATTTATTTACATATTCACATGTTTATGATTCTATTTCAATGCCTAAACTCGCAGAAATGTTCGAATTAAAACGATCAGTTGCTCATTCCATTATTAGTAAGATGATTATTAACGAAGAGTTAATGGTATATTAAAAATATTTATTTTTTATATTTCATACAATAATATAAAACATATATTACATTATAATTCATATTTTTATAGGCTTCTTTGGATGATCCAACAGAAACTGTAGTAATGCATCGAAGTGAACCTAGTCGTTTACAATCACTTGCATTACAACTTAGTGACAAAGTAAATAATTTCGTAGATTCTAATGAACGTATTTTTGAAATGAAACAAGGTAATGTATCTAAACATAACAAAAAAAAAGTATTATCTACATAATCTAGCATCTATATACATATATAATTGTGTATTAATTAAGAATGCAGAAGTTAATGTTAATATGTAAATACGTATTATTTCAGGCAACTTCTTTTCGAGAGGGAATCAAGGAAACTTTCGTGATCGCCAAAATTATAATCGACAAGGACAAGATTGGGGAAGACAGAGACGCGATCGTGATCGTGATCGTAATCGGGAAGAAAACCGAAATTATTGAAATAATGAATAATACAAAAAAAAATAAAAATAAATAGAAAAGATGTTTAATATGTAATGTTATTATTATATTGCTACATTCGCCTATAGTATGACATTACGCATACATAAGATAAATATAGTAAATCACGTCACATTACTTTCCAGCAATTCTTTATATAAAACTAATAAATAATATTCAAACTAAATATAATTTTATATGATCATCTTATATTTCTTGTATCTTTTCTATAAGTTTATTGCCAGTTATTATACTATCACTTACGAGAACAAGTTTAATACCCAACGATTTTTCTATAAGTCTACATGCAGCTATTTCTGCATTAGAGATACCTCCAATAATACAAATTACAATTATTTTTGGTGACAGTATACCACGCTGACCATTCATAACACAATCTGGTAACTTCAATATTTCATCAAAATTTTTGCTTTCTTTTTCTTGATTGACGACAATATTTAAAATTTGTGCCTGAAGAGGAGAAATTAATTACTGTAATTTTTTAAGTCTTATTATTTGAAATATTTAAACAACAAACATAATACTAACTATAAGTGGTATATAAGCATTATGAAAAACATAACTGGGACATGTAGAACCTTTTGATTCAATATGTTTTGTATTATTTGGTAAAAGTTTCAAACGTTGTACATTACTAGTCCATTCATTACTTTGATCTGTTAATCTATTAATACCACTTTCTGTTTTGATTTTCAATAAACCAACGTTCTGCAATTTATAAAATAATGGAATATTTTTGTAACCATGAGCATGAAGGTGTAATTTCTGTATGGATTGTAAATCTGAAGAAACAATGCCATCATTACAAATGGATAAGAGACACAAAAGACGTAAACATTTCAATGGATTTTCATCTAGAAAAGAACAAATACTTTTAATTTTATTATACAGGATTAAAGCTTTTATATTTATTACCTATATTTCTCTCAATATAGTTCAAACACTCTTTCCTTCCTTTACGTTCAAGTATCAATTTTTCAATGCTTTGTAACGTTTGAAACTCAGATCCTAATGTATCTACAATTGTTCGACAAGCTGATATATGAAAAACTAATTGTTGTGTCATATCTCTTGATTTTTGTAATTTTGTTGTTATATATTGTCCCATTTCAGCAAGTTTCATTGTTTCTATTGCCTCCTGTTCAGCTATTATCAAACAGATAGTAGATATCATTATTGACGTGAAAATAATAGAATTCATAAGATTAATAGATGTTAAATAGAAAAAGTACATTTGAGTGATTTGGTTTTTTCATGTAATATTGGGAAGACATTACTACAGGGTATATCACGAACTTCTCCATATATTTGGTCTTTATCAGGATCTAACTTTCTTTGTGTTTTACCAGTATATATCACACCCACATTTATGTCAAAAACTTCATTTAATAAACTTGAGTATGTTACTGGTGTCAACAGTGTAGTAACTTTATCGTAACTTCTATCCATTAAAATAAAAGCACCAATTTCATTTTCCGTTTTACAAGATTTTACAGACTGTTTTATGGATTCAATAAATTTTAAAATTTGTTGACTATATTTTCCAAAAGACAATATAAGTTTGGGTGAACCAAGCACAAGATATAATGACCACAAATTACGTGCCATTGCAGGTAGAAGAGTCCCATCTTTATAATAATATAAGTCCGTAAATAATGAATTTTCAAATGATAAAACATTTCCATCTAATCGTATTAACTCATAACTTAATGGATATATTGTAATTAATCCACTGAGTCCTAAACAAATACCACAATATAAATAATGTAGACAGTAACTTTTCAACTATAATATATAATAAAAAACTGACCTTCTTCTTCTATTAATGTATGCAATACAGTAGGAATAAATGGTACAACTAATAAATGATGACAGACCTGTACATGGGATGTAATATGAGATATTTCTGATTGAATTTGATCCAGTACTCTTTTACAAGAAGTTAAATTACTAGACACTAGAAATATACGTTGACTATTTGACAGTTTTAATCCTTGCTCCAACTTATATATTTTGTCAACTTCATATCGTCTATATATATATATAAAGTAACATAAGAATAATTTATTATTAATAAATAAATATAATAAAATTAATGTATGTAACTCACTTGAGTGTGGTGACTCCTATAAAGCTATCAAGTATTTTTATAAGTTTCTGTTCTATTATTAAATCTTTTGTACCAGGAATTATATCTAATATTTCAATAAATTTTCGTTGACTAATTTGTTGCAAAGCATTAAGTCTATCGTGTATTGTTATATCCATGATTATAAATATTTGTTTTTAAAAATTAATTATTTATTCATATCATAAGCAATAATCTTAATATATCTTATCTCTATGGTTTTTTTTATTATGTTTGTATATCTGCATGCAAATGCAGAATAGATAAATATTTATGGATTACTATATTGTAATCTACAAATCATAACAAATATATATATATATATGTTCTGATAAATATATTATTCATATAAAAATTAAAATGACATTATGTACCAACCATATATATTATACATATACATATATATACATCTTAGCAAATTCCAGCAAGTACCATGATGTGGGGTATATGCACACATGAATTTTAATCATGCAAACTGACATTAAAAGTATCATGTCCACTAGTATAAATCTATAGAAACTATTGGTAATATTGTAATTAATATATACTAGTAGTGTTATATTTCATTCAATTTATAACTAAGAATTAAAATTGAGATATCCAATTATCAATTGATGCGAAATGAGAGTAATTTTATTAGATTAGTTCGTCAATGATTCATGAAGTGCTATGGAGTAATTCGTCAATGGTAAAATTAATCATTGACAAATCTCTTCGTAGATACTCTGTGAATCATTGACGAACTACTCTACAGACACTTTGTAATCATTGAATCGTTTTATTTTATGTATAATTACAAAGCAGAATCATTGATTATCCATTTTGTAGAATTATTTTCATTTCGTTTATCGTTTTGCTCAATTTTTGAATGGTGATAAGAAAAAGACAAAAATATATAAGAAAAAACAATAATTTTACAACGATTAAGACTTCAATTGTTAATCATTAATCGAACTAATGGTTAAATTATTAATTTAATCGTATCATATGATTAACATTGGTGTAAGTAAAACTTTAATCGTTAATGGCAATTGATAATTGAATATTTCATTTGTAATCTTTAATTGTAAATTAGATTAAACATTCTCAAACGCTGATATGCGCTCTCTGGTGTAAAATATAAATCAAAAAAGTTAAATAATTCCATTAGTTATGCAATAAATGATAAACTTAAGTAATAATTATAAAAAAGTATTCTCTTACTTAGGGCACAAAAAATACAAGTATTCAGATGTGCATTGATACAAGAAAACTTATCTTTCGAAACTTGCGCACAACGTTGATAAAGGTTATTTAAAAATGGCGGACGCATGGTCTTCCGACACTACCTCAGATTGTTGTATTGAATGTTTCTCTGATATTATGTCCGAAAAATCAGAATACGTTATCGTCGGTCAAAAACCTTGTTCATCTCATCGTCGAAGTAAAAGACATTTCTTGCAAAAATTATTTGTAAGAGAAGTAGGTATCTTAACCTTTAAATTTTTAGTACATTACTATGATTGACAGATATGAAAATCTTGTCATGACTCTTTACTTGACAAATCTAACTTCAAATTATCAAATATTCTTTAATTAAAATGTAAATGAAATATAAATTAATTTTAATTTGTACATTTTTTTGAGTGACATTGAACTTTGTATGTTTGTATTTGAAGTTTATTTTTTCAAACTATAAAGTATATATATGATATGTGCGATATTTCCTTCTCAGGAATACATAAAAGACAAATATCTCAATATATTTTCTTATAGATCAGAGGTTGTTTGTCATTGCATAGCTATGCTTCTGAAGAAAGACTGTTCGCAACTGTACCCTCTTGGAGACACTTGCCTCTTTTGCATGTCATCCCAAAATCAGCTCTCGAAGCAGGGTATATATTTAATTTAACATAATTTTGATGTATAATTATAAAATATAAGTAATAAAGATTCACTTTATTTAAGGCATATTGTTATGGGATTGACACAGTGCGGTCAATTTTTGTTAACATATACATATATGTTGGATGTTAGTGATAATACTTCTTTGTATAAATATTTGTTACATTGGTGGGCATTTACGCCAAATCGTGTAGCTCGTAAAGTGGCAGAAGTTACACTTTTTGGAAATTATACTATTTATAGAGAGCTTAGTATAGTAATATCGCAATGGCCAATGGAACGAAATAAACTAGTAATACATGGTCTTTGGTAAGTATTAATTTATATTTCTTTGTATACTGTTTTTTTTTATATATACAATATATAGAGATTAATATATTTCTAGCCAACATTGGTTGCATCTACAACCAACGGATAGAGCATACTTAACAATAACTACAGTACCTTCTCTTGATAACTGTAGAGATTGTTTAAAAGTTGCTGCGTCATATGAAGAAGAAGGAGAAGGTAAGAAATTGCCTTTCATATTGTTCTAGATATATATTATAAATATGCTTTTATATGTTTATAGACTTAGCTGAAAATTGGGATGGATGTGTACGCTGTAACTGTTTGCAACATGGACTCACTGTTCACACAACTTACGAAGTTATGTCACCATACCCAAGATTTCGAGCTTCTGTGTGTTTAAATTATTGGAATTATGTAGTGGTTAATACAGGAAATTTTTTACATGTGCTTAGGGTAGATTTGGACATTCCAAAGCACAAAAATCAGAAGACATTTGATAAACAAGACACTGTAGTTCCAGATACTGTGCCACTAGAGATGAGTGATATTGAAGAGATAGATTTTTCAAAGACAGAATCTTATGGAAATTCCCATGACAAAGTAGGTACTTTAGAGTGTTCAATCAATAAGTCTCCTCGACTGGAGCCTGCTATTGATCATGAGTTTATAGATGAGTTGAGTAAGTTAGATGATAGATTAGGGCGTGAATTACCATTAAATACCTCAAGCAGTAATCAAAGCAACTGTGTCTGTGATATAAGTAAATCTACTGATGCTTTAAGTATTAAATTATGTGAGTGTTCAGATACCATTGAATGTAAGTGTCAAAATCAAAGTCCTGTATCTCGCATTGAACAACAAGCTATATCGGTTAGGGATAAAATCTTGCAGGACTTTTGTGAAGACATGTCTCAAGAACTTAATATTGGTAGTGACCTAATTACTTTAGTGAAGCATCCATCGTGTTCTCCAAGATCAACACCCCAAAGGCTTCCTCCTGATCTCAGAGCTATGGCGTGGTCATCGCCTATTTTTACACCACCTTCGGATATTCTAAGAACGCGTAATTCGGAATCTAGTCATAAAAGTACAGGAGTATCAAAGAATATACGTAATCAACGAGCTAATTCTCCACAACCTGGTGCTTCACAAGATAACAATGTAACTTCTATAAATTCTCCGCTTCATTCCATTTCTATAAGTCCATCTTCATCACATTCTTCCCGTTTGATGTCACCTCCCACAACAAGATTTCTTCATCATCCCACTTCGCGTAAACAAACAAACATGCACTCTCCTCCTCCAATTATTAATTCAACACAATCCAGGACAAGAGCTACGCACAAACTTATTCTTGAAGCAGAAAAAGCATATGAATTTACTGATGAAGCACAAGAAACTTGTGAAAAGTTAAGTTCATTCAGAAAGCGCAGACTCGCAGATAAAAAATATGAGTTTTGTGATGAGATAGAAGATGCAGAAAATATAGTTCCTTTTAAACACATACGTGACCAATTCAAGCATCGTGCCTGTTCCATACATCAAATATCTTCCTCTCCAACAATGTCACCTGTATTGTCTAATGGTAAACGGCATTGGGTAGATTCTGATCAAAGTGAGACTGATGAATTCAATACACCTCAAGATATTTTATGCAATGATTTATCACCTGTTGAAACAAGTAAATTGATGTATTATTACTTTATCATTTTTAATTATTAATGTGATGTATTAACTAATCCGTATATTTTATATAACAGATGAGAAAAATGTATTACGTCCACTGAATCAAAATCAATTAACAAATGGAAGTGTACAGAGGGACCGATTTGGGAAATTCTGTTCAAATTCACCATTGGTTCCTAAAATTAATTTACAATATCCTTCTATAAAGTGTACTGCACATTTTAGAAGAAGTTATATAGAACTGGATGATGAAATGATATCTGTTATTACTGATGTTGAAGGTATATCAAAATGAGCGATTTTATAGTATAAAATAATTGTTTAAATATTTAATTTTCGTAGATGAAGAAACTGGAGGATATGTCAGTTATCAATGTGTACTTCCAATGCATGTTCATGGCTCTGGATATGTACAAATGCAAATGATCAGCAACAGTAAAGCAGAAAAATTGGTAAAATTGTATTTAGATAAAAAGTATTAAAACATTACACAACTGTCTACAATTATGAAAATAATACATTTTCAGGCAGTACCTTACGTGTCTATAAACCAGTTAAGTTTTGATATTGAGACATTTTCTCATCACATTGCAGATTGGATTTGTGCACGATTCAATAAGAAATACTGGCATTGTAGTGATTATGACATTGAAATAATTGATATCTGTGCCCTTAGTGGTGATATAATTTGTTTACTTATCATGAAAATCCAAGCTAGTGAATTATGTAATCAAACACAATGGTAGGTCCATTTATCATTTTCTATGCTGATTTCTTCGTTTCGATTATTTTGCTAATATATAAACATTTTCAGCACCCAAGAAAGAAAACAATATGAAGTTGGATGTAAATTTACATGGAATATAGATTCAAGTGAATATAGAATAACGGATGTATTACCAATGGAAGAAGTAAGATTGGATTCCTTAAAAAACAATCCTATTCAAACACCAAATTTTCGTTCTGGTTCATTATGGAATCCGACGAGACGATTAGCACCACAATTAAGAGAAAAGATTCAGCAGCCATATGCTCATACTGTTCGCTTCCTTCATAATGAAATGGCTTTAGCTGGTTAGTAATTTTATAGACATTAATGATTAATAACTCATGAAAAAAAAAATGTATTAAATAAATTGCAGGTGAATCTATAACAAGGCTCAATGATTTAGATAATCTGGTCGAATTTTACATTACTCCAATACCGAATTATCCATTAATAGAATGAAAAAATATCAAGTAACAACATGCTGCAAACAATAATTTATTTATTAATGTAAACTTGTGATTTCTATATTTACTAAGGTAACGTACATAATATTATAACTGTATGGAAACTTACTACATATAAATTACTATAAATATTCTCTCAAAAGAGGAATTATTTGTTATATAAGCATAATTAACAGTAAGTGTAATATTATAAATTGTATAGATATCATCTATTTACTTTGTGAGACTAGTATATAAATTTATGCTGTTGTGTGATTTATCCACAACTTAATTAGTATAAAATAAGAATTTATGTAATAAGACAACGAAGTTTACGAACATTTGCACCAATTTGTAAATTGTATTTAAAGTCCATGCTATAAATTACCTATGTTTCAGATATATAACTTCGATAACTAAATAATTAATTTGACTATTAATAAATATATTGTATGTTGTTTAAATTAAGAGAAAAATGAAAAAGTAATCTTTAGATAATATTTGGTCCCAAAGTAATATTGCAATCAGAATTACCAGAATTGTATATTTTTATTACTAATAGTACGCAAACATTTGTCTTTCAGAATATTTTACATTTTTATTGTTTGTAAGTTTACCTATTACAAAGTTATTTCAAGTTTATAACTTAGTTTTGATAGGTATAGCTTGCTTATCTGCAGCTTTTATTTTTTCTTATTTACTCCTTTTTTTTTCTCTTTCATTTGTTTGTATATTTTTATTGAAATGGACTACATATATGTACAAAAAAGATGTGTACTAGCAATAAATATAATTATCACAATTAATCAACAAGGAAACATATTCGAAATGACTAACAAGATTTTTTGTAACTTAAATATATTAAGTATGTATTTTTTGGAAATATTTAAGAGGTGAAAATATATAATATATGCTTCTTTTTACTTTTTTAATTAAAAAATAGTTAAAAAGAAGTGAAGCCCGCCATTAAAGATTATTTATTATTATGTAAAAATAATGTGATATATTTCATTTTACTTACATAATTTAATAAGATATCTAATATTACAAAAAAATAATTTCGAATAATTCTCGAGATTTTACTAATAACCGATAAATATTTAAACAAATGAATGAATGAATACTGTGCCGTCTTTCGATTGTTATAATTTATTATAAATAAAATTTTATTTCCGCAAAACGTATAATGAAATATATACTTGACCCTTTTCGATTGTGATACATTAAATGATAACAGTAATAATATATTGAAAATAGCATCTGCAATAAAGTCTAATCAAATATAAAATGTTACGATCAAGCCAATATAAAAATACTATTATAAAAAATTATTTTTTCAGAATTTTATTTAAATCATTAAGTTATATTTATAAGTAATACTCGGGTCGATAATCTTTAAAGGCGGATTTCAGTTTTTCAAATTCTTTTGAAACAAATATATAAACAAATATATGCTTCATATATATACTTTCTTTATAATATACTTAAATTTAGTAAAGTCAATTATCGCATAAATATAATTTAAATTGCTATATTGGACAATAAATTATTCCAGAGCAATAATACTGGAACTAATAAATATAGAAATATAACTACAGTGAGATTATCTCTTTTTTTATAAATTATGATAAATTCTTATTTTAATATTTGTAGACATTTTTTAATACTTGAAATGACAATATATGATTTATCATGAATTTATACAGGTATTTTAATAGGTACTCCTACAGTGATATCAGAACCTATTCCATCAAGTTTAAGAGCAACAAGGACTTCCTCCCATGCATTCATGCACTGTTGATAATGCTGTATTTGATGGTCTGCCATTGTGATTAACATACTTTTCAAATCTGCTTGTTTTTCAGTATTCCACCTTTGAATATCACTACGTAAATTTTCATTAGCACAACCAACACGATCTTGAAGTAACTCTACTTGTTTTTCTAAACGTGGAATCACTTGTCCTAATTTTTCCAATTTCTCATCACGGGTTTCTGCTTTCCAAAGTGATCCACTCCAACTTTGTGTTGAGGATATGCCACTTGCAATATTCAGTAACTACATTAATAAATAGCAATAATGAGATTATTATAACACTAAAGTTCGTATGATATACATACGATGTACATATTATTAATTATGTAAGTAAACATTTATAGCATTGACAAATACCTGATCTTTCTCAACTCTTCTTTTTGCTATTTCATCAATAATCATTTCATATTCAATTTGCATAGAATCTCTTCTGCTTAAAGCATTTTTAACCGCATCTATATATGTTATATATTCACGTTCTGCATTAGGTACATTCTCTACAAGCTTTCTTTGAGCCATGGCAATGGATTCTATTGCTTTAGCAATTGCCAACAAAATAGGAGCTAGCTCTGGTTCTGAAGTAGCCCATAAAGTAAATATTGGATGTAATTGACGCAATTCAAGCAGATAATCTAGTATATTAATAACAATAGAAAATCAATGTTATTAATAAAGTAATAATTTATAATCTTTACAATTACAATATTACTAATCTACATTTTAGTCCATACCTTGCCTTTCCTTGTGTATACGATGATGAATTCTATCTATAGTAGATAATTTTTGGCTTAGTGATGTACAATAATCACGAACTTGTTCAAACTCAGGTAAATGCTGTTTCATAATATTTACACTAGTAATGTTCTGCAAAGAATCTGTCATTTTAACAAGCATATTTCCTCGACTTTTACGATGAATAAGAAATTCCTGTATAAATATAGATAACGTATGAAGCACTAATATGATATTAAAAATTCTTAATATATTTATATCATATTTATGTTTACATACTGCGGGTTTAGTTGTCAAAAAAATTTGTAAGTTTTTGTCATAACTGAGAATAGGATGATTAATAACCCTATTCAGGAATATTTGTAATAGTTTCATACGTGCTATAATAAATTCTTTGGAATAACGATCTAATTGAGCTAATAATGTATGTTTTCCTGGTAATGGCTATAACAAATAATATCAGAATTTAGTTCTTTCTATAATAAGATACAATAATTGACAATGTATTAATGTTATTTGTATTATAAAAGCTTACAGGTATAATATGCGTAGGATAAGAATCCACTAATTTTTGACGTAACCAAATGAAGTCATTGTAACGTCTGCAGACTATATATTCATTATTTTCATATTCTGGGCGTGTAACCTATGATATATTATAATATGATCTTATAATTTTATTTTACCTATAGTATTATTTTACTTTTTACAGAATTATAGAAAGTTAAAATCATATTTTTTAAAATAAAAAACATTTTTCAAAATACTATTTAACTTACTCTAGTAGTTATACGAAATGTAATATAAGTTTCCAACGTTTCAAGATGCTTTTGCGGATTATCTACTTTTACTTTTAAATCTTTTAAGTCCATTTGAAAATCAGATACATCTTGTTCTGGTATCGTAGAAAAGCTATCAACCGATGGAGATGCAATCTGAAAGATCAGTTATAAATGAATTTTTACATTTTTTAAAGATTTTATACAATTATTTTACACAATTCAAGAGATTGTATTCACCAATATTATTATATTTATATTAGCAAGTATATATATTATTCATATTAAGTTGTATCTTAAATTGCTTATACTTTTAAAAAAAAATCAATGAGAAACATATTATCTCTTTTTTTAAATAGTCAATATAATGTTTTTTAATATTTTTAAAGTTACAATTTACCACAGAGTCTTCCATTGAAGTGCTACAATTAGAAAAAAAATCGCCATCGCGACTTTCTTGCTTCACAACTCCACCCATTTCCACTGTACTTATTTCTAAAATAGCTGTATCTTCCTTAATTTTCTCCTCTAACAAATTTTCCACTTTTTCTTCGGATGTCATCATTTTGAATAATTGGAAAAAACAATATTCGATACCAGGTATTGTCAAGCTAGATCACAAACAGCCAACTCACATCAATAGCTTATACTATCGGAGAGTTCTTTGAATGTATATATGTATATTTTTACACATATACATACATACACATGTATACATATACATATATACACATTCAAGCCAAAGGTTATAAAAGAAGATCGAGAGAGAGAGAGAGAAAGAGAGAGAGAGAGAGAAGAAAAGTTATTTTTTGTTTCAAGATTCTCTTACTCTATATCTTTATCTTCTTACCGCTTCTCATTATTAGAAGGATAATGCCATCTGCAAAGTTTTCGTTATCGACATTTTATTATGTATTATTATATATACACAATACGCCAATATATTTATTATTGATACTCAAATACTATATTTATATATATATGTATATATGTATATATGCTATATGCACATAATGCACATGCCATATATATATACATTGTGAAAAAATCTTTTCTTTTATTGATTTCCCCTAGATTGAAAGTTTTCTTCATATATTCGACGGAACACCTGAAAGTATGCAATATTACATACACTTAGATACAAAATAGAATAACTAGTTGCTGTTCAGACATTCGGCGCCCCTAGATAGCGCTCGAAGTCTCGATAATGATCGATTACATCGAGTATTCAGAATCGTACGTATGAAGATCTACAATATAATAAAAGCAGTCTTAGTATTTAATCAAATTCATAAATAAATATTTAAAATTAAACTATACAAATTAATTATATTATTATATTGTATTATTATACTTTTTAGTAAATTGTAAAAATTATTTTTTGTAGTACATTTTTTGCAATAATGTAATAATTTTGGAAATAAACTGACATTAATTTCATTATCAAAAGGAGTATTTCGTATTTTTGTAATTTTTCTATAGGATAAATCAATTATTATTAAATATATATATATATATCTGTTGCATACAGAAAAGAGATTATTTTTGCCACGTGTAAGCATACATGAACATGTAGTTCGAAGGATTAAAAATTCTCTTCATAGAAATTATCTTAATATCGTATTTCGTTAATGGAGATAACAATATGTGTTATATGCAAAAATAAAAAGGAACAAAACTAGATTTTAGGTTGTAGGTTTGACGGGTTCAAGTAAAATCGAGCAACTCCTCGATCGACTAGCGCGATAAGAACTGAGCATGCGTGCAGTTATCTCACTATCGGCTTAAGAGATACTAAGAACCCTATTTAAATGTTATCAAACGAAGATTAAATATATAGAGAGTAAAGTAATCACTTATCTTCAAAAATGGATATTATTATAATTATAATAGAAATTGAAGAAAATATATGATAAGGTAAGCTGCATATTTGTCAAGGAATTTATATATTAATTACTAATTTACTTGCTAGCGTAATTATTTAATATAATATTATATGTAATGTAAAGTTTTAAGGTAAATTTATATTATATAATATAACAAGATTAATTGA